TATATATGTATATATGTATATATATATATATATATAGTACATGAACAGATGTCTTTTGTTTGTGCCTCTCCTTGGCTTTTCCAAGGGCCATACAATGTGGTTTTTAGTTTCCTCTTGTTTCGTTGGTAATCACTAACTGCTCAGGTCACCTGAGCTGAGAACCTGCTGCTCAGACTGTGTACGAGCTACACCTGTGTTTGGTTACATGCATGGAGGTTATATAAGCAGGTAAACCTAGAACCAGCCCAGTTGGGTTTTCTGATGCCATAGAGAGAGAACACACTGTCAGTGCGTCACTTTATCGTTTAACAGTTGGTTATGAAGTAAGAGTAAAACTTGTAATGCACTTGTTTAACCTCAAGCACCTTGACCGGCCTCACCGAGCGCAGGGGCAGTTAGTAAGTCTAAGGCTGACGAGCCCATTGAGGTTACGTGGCTTAAGCTTTCAAAAAACTCAAGTTGCAAAGAGGCAAGTTTACCACTCATTTACATTGGCTTTAAAAATAAAAAATACAATTATTTTTAATTGTCATTTAACTTAAAGTACTGCATGTTGCAGGTGTGTACGTGGAATTGAGGCCCACGCGTCCAAAGGTCCAAATAAGGTAGGACGCTCCTGTAGTACGGTCACCTCATCATCAATGTGTTTACATGTAAAATATCAGAGTTATGAAACACCGTCCGTCCGTGTGTGTGTGTGTGTGTGTGACGTACTTCCGCGGCTCCACCACCTCCTCTGTGACGTAGTTGAGGAAGTTCCAGCCACTGTAGGCGAAGGAGGCCTGGAGGAAGGCCAGAGCGATCTGTCCCACTGAGGGATCCTGACGGAACTCAAAGGCAGCGCTGGGTTCCAGGGCGTCGTAATAACCTGGAGCCCGGGAGGAGAGAGAGAGGGAGAGAGAGAGAGAGTTATTTTGGGATAAACGGCGTTGTTGAGCATGTAGCACCGAGCTGTAGGTGTGTTTACCTCTACATATCTGGACCAGGCCGACGACTATGATGAGTCCCAGAGCCAGGAGTTTCCCAACAGTGAAAACATCTTGGATTCTTGTTGCCCAGCGCACGCTGTGGCAGTTCACCCACGTCAGGAATACTGCACACACGGAAGTACAGGGTCAAGCAGGGGTCGCCGACCTTTAGTAATTAATTTAGTAATACAAAGAGCTACCTCTTTGATACAGACCTCCCAACAATGTGATAAGAATTAGTTCTGGTACAGACTGCACCGTAGCAGACGCTCTTGTTACCATCGTCATTTCATCCAACTGAATATCATTGCAAAAAGAACAGAGACTGGGGATCCGTTTTATTTTTAGAACATACCCCGCAGACACCTTAGGTCATTGTTTCCCAAAGACTGGGTTGCAACCCTCAGGAAGGTCGATTTTTTTTTTTTTTTATTGGGTCATGTCGCATCACGTTTGGGTCGTGAAGGTTTGTGACTTTTAAAATATGGGTTTGGGTCACGTTGGTGACCCCTGGTGTAAAGAATAATAATAAACTCACTACTCTCCACTCACCATTGCATTACTCTACTCTACGGTATTCTAGTCCAGGCATGGTCAACCTGTGGCTCGGGGGCCACACGCGGCTCTTGCGTTCATGTCAAATATTATGTTTGTGTTATGTTTTGTTACGCTCATGGCGCTGCCGCAAATTACTTTGGGAAAACCCAATTCGCACTGATGAAAAGATGTAAACAGGAAGTTTTAAACTTGAGTGGGAGAGTTTTTTTTTTTTTAAGAGATCATGTGATTCTTTGCAGTAAAACTGTGGCTCCTAGCCTTCTGACTGGTTGGCCACCCCTGCTCTAGTCATAAATGATTTGCCTGAGCTTCTTTACCATCACATGTTAAATTAGCTAACATGCTCCAAGTCAAATACTAATTATGTCTTGTCGTCACAATGACATTTTTCTGCTGCATTCAGTCTGACTGCAGGATCATCTGCCTGTCATCTGTGTTTTAAAGCGCTATTATTCAAGCGCTCTTTCTCTCCTGTCAGCACGAGGGAAGACGACATCATTCCTGAACAGATAATATTCTGCCCTCTGTTTCCTCTGTGTTTCCCTCTTCGTCTGTGTCTGTTACAGAAGCAGCGATGTTGTTGGGACATTTTATGGGCAAATCTTGTTGCCGGGGGACGTTGTCAGTCAAGTAACGCATTTGAAAGTGCAAATAAGAAATCTTAAATGCAAGGCAGAGTGGTTTCATTTGACGGATGTTAAACAGGGCTGAACGTGTGTTAAGGCGAAGGTGGAGTATGTCAGGAATGAAGGGCCTCATACAGCCTAATTAGATGTCAAGTCGGCCGAACCAGCAAAATCGTCACATAATTACCTATAAATAATAATAATAAGCTCGTGTTTTACCCTTATTTTTAACATGCAAAGAAGCGTTTGTGCTTTCAAAATGTGTCATGCGGGCCAGAATGAACCCCCTGGGCGGGCCGGTTTTGGTCCGCGGGTCGTATGTTTAACACTCATGGAGTACATATAGGTTGATAGAGGATAATCTGGCCGTCCGTTGTGTTTCATATGCATAAAAATATGTCGTAATAACATTTTTGTCTTCCGTCTCTCTCTCCTCTCTCTCCCCTCTCTTTACCTCATTTAACCTCTGCTAATTCTAATATGCTAAAAGCCGTCTGTTGCTCAAGTGGCTGTGTGTGTGTATGTGTGTGTGTGTGTGTGTGTTTGGGGGGGGCATACATGGGCACTAAAGTTATCATCCATTTCATCCATCACTGGGGCAGGGGTCCACCCCCACCACAGAGAACTGGACAAACTGTTTCCGCTGGCACGGAAATTCACACACACACACACACACACACGCACACGCGCACGTGTGTGTGTGAATTTTTGGCAGGAGGATTTTGTGGCACCGGGCAGAGCTTTCTCTCCATCTACAACGCTGCGGTGTTTTATAGTCAATTACTCTGAGGGTGTTATACGCGTTTCCGTTTCTGTGTTGTTTGTGAAACACCCTTCACCTCCCACCGCGTCCCTCCGTGCTGACCCTGACAGGGAGGAGGTGCCAGCAGCCTTTCACAGTGACAGCGCAGGTAAATCTGTGTCCCGCCGTCACAAACTTCCATTGAAGGCTGCCTTCAGCACTAGAATACTAAACTAATTACTGCTTTTACTTTCAAAGGAAACTGACCCCAACTCGGGGCAGATTTATCGGGGCGCTTTAACGTCAGCGACGCCTCCTTTTGGTCCAGGCTCTGGTCAGTGGAGTCAGTGAACTGGCAATAACCTCTCGGTTCTGTCAGTGGACCTCAAGGCTGCTGACAGCAGAAGCACTTCAGAAATACAGTCAATCTACAGGAGTGCATAAAATACAGGACCATGAAAACAACAGTCGGCAACAGTCGACAACAGTCGGAGCAGAAGGAAAGGAGCCGCTAGCTGTTCAGTTCTGTTTAACTTCTAATAATATAAGATTAACTTATATTTGAGTTTGACAAATATTTTATCCATTATGTCAGGTAATAACAGGCTCATGTAACAAAAATAAATGACTGCATGTAGAGACATTTAGCTACAAATGCTAGGGGACAAATGTAGAAGTGCGCCCGTAAGGAACATGCCGTTAAATGGAAAAATGAATATTTTGTTTAAGCTAAAGTCTGTTCACATTTGTGCTGTTTCGTGTTTGTTGAACAGTTTTGCTTCAGGCCGTGGCCTCGACCTGCCCCGGCTCGCTGTTGTCAAAGGAAAATATCAAGAATATCTCATTGACAGGAGTTTCACAGTTTCACAGGAATGTGTGGTTCAAACACAAACGTTTAGGCACTTTAGATTAGATTAAACTTTTCTGATCCCACTTTTGGGCCATTTTCTCCATTTTGCAGCCTGTGTCTGTCGGGTCGGATCATTTGTAGACAGGATCAAAATAAAAAATAAAAAAAATCTTTATCTGCTCTCAGAGATTCCATTCACATGAATTAATGTATGGATGTTATGCAGAGCTCATTAACTTTGATCAGTGGTTCTCAAACACTGAGTTTATGCAAGCCTTTGATCAGTGGTTCTCAAACACTGAGCTTACTGAAAATGTAAATGTGAATTGCGCTCGCGTACCACGTACCACAGTTTGAGAACCACTGACTTAGGAGGTGTGTGTGTGTGAACGTATTAATGACTTGTCTCTCAGTCAGACAGTCATAAAAACTGTTTGTATTTAAACCCGGACACTGACTCTGGGGATGTGTGTACGATTGTGAGTCACCGTAAGCACCGAGCAAAGAGCTGAAGGTTTTACAAAAGTCCGCTTGTAAACACATCAGACAAACAAAGCAGCTGTTTGAGCAGGACCTGTTGGAGACCAGTCCTTCAGCGTAGGCTGCCACAGTGAATACATCCATTTCTGATACGGTAAACACAGAGTAGTCCTGATGTCACAGAATGAGCCCTTAGAAACTCAGGACTTCACAAAAGGTACGACGCAGGACTGATATGATGGGGGTAGAAAAATGTTCATAAAAGCCAAAAGGACGGGAAGTCAGTACCCGTGACACTGAAGGTGAGAAATTGTGATGCATGTAACTGGGGATGTGACAATTAAGAAAAAGAAAATATTATAAAACATAAATAAAACATATTTTCCACTCAGGTTTCAATGACTTGGAAAAGTAAACACAGACAGAGGGCGGTGTCACGGCCTAATACGTGTATGATATTCCATTTAATTGTAAAATTGTTGAATTTGTACATCCCTGATTACAGACCACTAATGTGACTGTTACCATGTCACCACAGGTACTGCAGTACAGTGGAAGGATGGGACTGGAACCGAGTCGTCGACTGGGACATCTACCTGTCCAACCAGTAAGTCGTCAATATCTGATGTGTAAGGTGTCCCGGTCATTTCCTGTTTTCGTGGTGCCCACCGACAGCAGTGTGACGCTAAGCACTTTAAAACAATGCACAATGGCGGAGACACGTCCTCCCATTAGCAGCGTCAACAAAGACTGGCACCATTATGTATTCTGACTCCGTGACACCAACACAGGCAGCAGTAGTGACACCCTGTCTCCAAAAATAGAGGAGTTCTGTGCTTCGCCCTCGCTCGACAGACACGCGCACAGACAGACAGCCAGCCTTTCCTGTCCGTACCTCCATTTCTCTTTCAACCAGTTCAGACGAGTCCAAACTGGTTTCCCAGTGTCCTATATACATCACTTCAAACACTCACAACTCTGTCTTTTTTTTCCTGTTTTCAAAGGAAAATGAACCATTATTAAAAACTGAATCTCAAACTTCAGTAAGAATTAACAACAATGTCTGTTAGCATCCTGCAGACTATAACTTTGTACCATTTAGCAACAGTTAGCGGCGGCTGACAGATTGAATACTCTGGCTGGGGTTTTCATGGTTTATGTCGAACAAAGACAGACAGGAAACAGATGGGCCGACCTCGACCTGTCGATCCACTGCTCCAGTATCTCCCTCTGATCTCAGTATCTCACTTTAAGTTTAACATGCCATTCCAACAAAGCACCTGAATTCAATTTTCTTTTTTTTTACTGCATTGAAAGGGATGCACAGATTTTTGTGTTACGCTAGAGCGAGATTTTAATATCCCAGGGAGCCGTGGCTCACAGCTATCCTCGACTACAGGGGAAAATCGTAACCATATTCTATGGATTTGTTATGTTCCACTGATGTGAACTGGTGAGAGTTTATACATTCGCACAACCGGTGCACAACAAAGTACAACCTGAGGAGTTCCATTGGGAAAAAAATAATTGAGAACGACTAAAAGAACAGAGTTAATCCTTCCTGTAAGTCACTTTGGGTGAGAGCTGCGTCACTGTCACTGTTTATCAAAGTAAAACTGATATCAAAGTAAAAGCTTTGAACTGAAACACACACACACAGACACACACACACGGACACACACACACATATGAATCATCGGGTTTTACGGCATTTTGAAAACAAACCTTATTATGTTATTTGCTCAGTGTTTGAGCCTCAGTATTGACTGAAGAGCTCGCCGTGATCTTTGTCATCGTTTGAACTTAGGCTTGAAACAAGTTCTTACTGCATTAAGGTACTTATAGGTTTAGTACTGTTTTTTTTTTTTATTTTCTTTTTACTCGTTTTCTGGAATTATACTTTTTTCTTTTATATCTCTGTTTAATCATTTACTTTACTCACATTTGCTCACTGCTGTGTTTTTAAATAGTCCTTTTTTTTTTCAATAATTTGTATCTACAATTCTGTGTTTATATCCAAAAATACTAATTATATTGTATTGTATGTATCAGTACATTTTTTTTAACATGAATCATTTCTTATTTACATAACTCTAGAGAGAAGAACTGTTTGAAGATAAAGACCAAAATAACAACATGGTTCTCGCCTGCGATGACTCACAGATACAGATGGCGGCGAGGAGTTTGACGGCAATGTACGGAGGCAGGCAGTTCTGGAAGGCTGGCTGTAAGACGTAGTTGGCGAAGGTGAGTGCGATGACAGCCAGTGTGGTGGGATACATGATGAGGACGGCACTCCATAACAACAGGAAGCTGTAGGAGAGAGGAGACACGGAGGAGGAGGAGCTGCTGGGGTTTTCACACAACAACATTTTACAGTTGAACAAATATTAAATCAGCTAAAAAAAAATTGACAGAATCATTAAATGGTAAAGAGCCATGTTGCATGGAAACACAGTTAAAGTCAGGTATTATAACAGACAATAAATTCACTTCATACCATTGAATAGAACAGAATGACTTTTCTACTTAACAGCCCAAGGGTGAAGGTTTTTTCTACGGATATAACTAATATTTTTTTCTCAGAATTCTGCCTTAAAAGTTGTAATTATGTGATTTAGAAGAGTGTGACCTTAGCAGGCTTACAATAACACACACATACAGTATGATCAGATGACGAGTCACATGATCTCAAAGAGTCATAAGACTCCGAGAGGTGATTGGTTTCAGACCCCGGTCCGAGGGAAAACAAACGCTGGGCTGAGGGTAATCCCTGAATCCCTAGTTATTATTATTTGATTATTTGATTATTTGATTATATGACATTTTTTTATTTCTCTTTTTTTTTATTGTTGTTTTGTTTTTTTCCAAATAGACAGAATCAAAGAGTCCTTACCCTACTAAACCTCCAAAGATTTCTGTCACATATGAATAGTCTCCTCCTGACTTGGGGATGGTGACGCCCAGTTCTGCATAACACATAGAGCCAAGGGCACATATGCCTCCTCCACAGACCCAGACGATGAGTGACAGCCCCACGGAGCCTGCATGCTCCAACACTCCTTTGGGAGAAATGAAAATCCCAGAGCCGATGATGTTCCCTGGAGGGAAGAGCAAAGATAAATGTCAACTTACAGTATATGTCACAGGGATCCTTTCAAAATAAAACCACAGCAAACAAAACTTTATTTATATAAAATAATCTTCTTGTTGTTGTGGGTTCGAGTCCACCAGCTGCCAGGTTGCTCGGGGGTAAGGCACCGTCCCCACACACAGCCCCCTCTTCACTTTGGTGATGGGTAAAAAGCCATAGTCATAATGACAAATAATAATTCACTCACATTTTTTTAACCATCTAACATTTGTTTTTTGTTTAAAGATTCCATTGGGACTATTTAAGATTTTTTTTTTTTACTTTTTTAAAGAAAAGAAAAATGACCACCAAATCCCTGGGGACAGAGTAAAAACATCTCTGCTGCTTTAATTAATCCTCTGGAGGTTTGTCTCAGGAAAATGTTGAATTCAAGAAATCTCACTCATTTTACACAAACAAAAACAAAAAAATTATATGTTGTATATGAATACAACAGTCAACACAATTGTTTCAACAGAACAAATCCACTCAAATCCTCAGCATCAACGTCCCTCTCACACCAACCTTCATCAGGAGATTTATCAACTACTGAAACAGGAAGTTGCTGACGACAGCAGTGGTTCCCACCTGGTCCCAGGTGATTCCAGCCGCTGTCACAGCAACAACCAATACTGTTGCGTCATTCGTTTCCTTGTCTCTTTGTTCCTGCATATGTTATAAGTGTATAATATACTACAAACTTTTGATACTTTTTATACTTATGTTGCATTAATTGTACATGGTAATGTTTCAGATTTATTCAACTGAAAATGTAAATGTTGAAAATGTGAATTTTTTTCCCACGTACCACAGTTTGAGAACCACTGTATTTGACCAGTTTTAAACCATCATAATTACTACTTCACTCCCCATTCACTATCTTTCCCGTTTATTAATGCCACAACCTCGTTAGCAGACGCCCGTCAGGTGGTTCACATGTCAGTGTTTGAAGGTTTGTACGCTCAGAGTTGGTGCATTATTGAACAGTACTGGTTTGGACAGCTGGTGTCAGTGACAGGTATAACCAGCTTAGTTGATGACATAGTTGTCTGTTTTTACTAATTCCTCACCATGTCACATATTTCCTGGTCTTTTTCATTCACCCCCCCACACCCCGTCTCACCCCCCACTCATGAGGAAACCAAAACTAACAAGGCAAAGTAACCAAACAGCAGCTGTTTAAACGCCACATGTTTTTCACTCCTCCGCCTGTTTTTCACCATCCAGCAGAATTTGGGACAAAAAGTTTAAAAAAAAACATGAAAACAAATCCAGCCAGTCTTCTTATACTGTCGGGTTGTTTTTAAGCTCCACAGCTCGAGTGCAGTTTCTCTGGTCTGCAGCTCTGAATGCTCACTAACGATGCAGAGCATAGAAAAAAAAAGAGAAGGTCTGACCGCTGCATCCATCAGTGTCAGATTTGATTGTGGAGGCAGCAGTGAGATGCTGAGTGCTTATATAATCTCTGTGATGGCCTTGTTATATCATTAGCTTTCAATATCAGAGTTGAACTTACCCTCTCAGCCCCCTGAGCACGGGCAGACTGCGCTTTAAAGAGAAGGTGAAAAAAAAAAAAAGATTTCACCCTGCTTTGTTAAAAGATAATAAAACCCATTTGCTGACTTGAAGTTTTATTATATTTGCAGTTTAGTGAAATCGGGTTTAACCTCATTTAAATCAACATTTAAGTTGAAATTTAACCTGAGAGGAAATCTGTTGCTGGTGACAGGTGGAGAAAGGTGTGGCTGTTGAACCAGATGGATAACTGCTCTGTTCCCTGAGGCCATCTTGAGAAAACCACAACCCTCCCATATGTCTTGGTGCGTGGTTTTTACCCCGACCCACTTCCCAACTGACCCCACAGAGTACAGAGGTCATTATTTCCCTCCTTTCACCAAAACATCAGGTTTACATTTTTGGCGTCACTTCAGCATGTTTGCATTAACATTGGATTAAACAGACACAGAGTCCACACAGCATGGTGCCAACTCATTTGACATAATCAGGTACAAATATTTCATGATCAGACGTGCAGCATTCCCTTGTGACATTCACGTTTCGGCCATGAATTATGCCTTTTTTCTTTTCTTTTTTTTTAACAATTCAAGCGCTGTCGAGGTTAAACTGCCATAAAAGCGGTGGTAGTAGTACTGCAGTAGTAGTACTGTAGCAGTAGTACTGTAGCAGTAGTACACGCAGTGGTAGTAGTACTGCAGTAGTACTGTAGCAGTAGTACACGCACAGCTGCAACACCAGTCGTATTTTAAGGCTTTGAATAAGACTTTTATGACTAACTCATCAGTTAAGCAAAGGTTTTAATTAGTTTTTTTTTTTACCAATTTTCCAAAAAAAAAACATTTAATTACAGTAAATGTAAAAATAAAAAAGCACTGCAGCACTACTTGATGTTTTTACAGGGGCCATTCATACTACTGTAAAGACTAAGGAAACTCCAGTCTATAATCAGTTCAATGTAGCTGCACATTCAAGTCTTTAAGGTCTGTTGCACCCTTGAATCTTAGAAGCACAGAACTGTGTATGTTTGGTCGGCCAGTCGACAGGGATCCCGACTGTAGAGACGTAAGGAGAAGTTTTTGTAATTCAGCAGCATTTCTGGTTCAAATCTCTGCTGTTTTTGTTCTGTGACGACTGGGTCTTTCAGCCATATCTACAGTACATATGTGACATCAGAGTTCAATTATTGAGGAATGCCCGCTCAGACAGACATCTCATTCATGTTGGCCTACACTGTTTGGTCTTGTGAGATGAAACTAAGACTGAAAGACGCTCAGCCTGGTGTCCCAGTACAGGACAAAAGACCTGTGAAACCCTAACCTGCTGCTGCCTTTCCTACAGACCCACCCTAAAAAACAACCCAATCACCGGCTCACAGTATGTGACGCGACGTATGTTTTGCAGAACAACTTTGTGAGCTCTCAGTTCTTTACCAAAACAATGTTTACATGTTAGCAAACAAGTGTAGTAGTTCGTCAGTTGCTCATTTACTGATGGTGCCGTTGACTGAAATGACGAGCGAAAATACATTTGGCAGCATTTTCAGGTCACAGGTGTGGTCAAATATAGGCAGGCGGGTAACGAACGGTAAAGAAGGAAGTCACTTTTCAGGATGTATCGGGTTACTGTTGATTAAGAAGGAAGTCACTTTTCAGGATGTATGACGATAGGGTGGCAGTAAAATAAATTTTTTATTCTATTTGAAAATAGTAACAACATCTGTTATATGATAAATTACCTTAAAACTGGATCTTAAAAAAAATGTTGACAAAGAGTAATACTGAGAGGCAACAGACAAATGACAGACACCTGACTCTATTATCTCAGCCAGTGTTTTTGCAGTGTCTGCAGAAACTAACTTCATAATATGTTAGCTTCAGTCCTGAAGTGTGGCCTACATATGTACGATTATTTTTTTATTTTTTTATTTAGTGGGTGCAGCTTATATTCAGGTGCACTCAATAGTCCAGAAATTACGGTAGATATTTTTTACTGTTGTGCCAAAAAACTTCTGTTGCCAGATAATATTGATCCTGAAAACAATTCTATTTTTGTTTCTTTTATCCAATAACTGATGCAGACTTGGCCCAGTGAGCAGTGAACAAAGGGTCAAAGTTACACAGTTAGGAGTTTAACTTTTATCTGATGTAAAAGAAGTGTACAGAAAGACGTAAAAAAAACAACAACAAAACAAGTTGTTTTTTTTAAAACTGTAGGTGATAAAATATCGTAGAAAACAACTTTATCCAGACTAATTATGTATCCAGGCCAAAGCTGCTAACACAGGTGTTAGCAGCTTTAGTTAAAACCATAGTTAAAGGTAGGATTAGTAGGATTTAAATTTTAATCTTTCTAAGTAAGTATGTGTCATCAGGTAAGCTTTAAAGGAATAGAGATGAGGGCAGAAAACCAAAAACACCTGAAGGGAAAGATGCTGCAGCACCGAGAAGTTGAGTATAAGTAAACTGCACAGCGATCAGGTTCAGTGAGGAATTAGAAATTAATCTGCAAAATTCCTCAGGCAGGAAAGAAAGATCAACAAAGTGAGAGAGAGACTGAAACGTACCGAGAACTTGGAAACTAACAACCAAATTTAAGACAACGTAGATCCCCAAAACTGAACAACAGAGCTTGCCTGGCAAAAATAAATTGCTGACTTCATGACAGCATTCGTGTCATTTCATTTTTGTCTGTGTTGTTTCCACAAATAGAGCCCGGAGTGTGATCGTCCTACTTATCCGCAGGCAGCTGCCACCTACATGTGAGTGAACATTCTGTATTTTGTCACTGACTAATAATGGCCTCTCTGAACGATACATCATGTTGAGCTAACACAGTGGTTCTCAAAGTAAGGTGCACAGACACGGCAATGACAAGGGTTGAAACTAGGTGAAGTTCATTCTTGATTTTACAAATGTGTTTACAAATTATCTTTACAAGTGTGAAAGTCTGCCCAGGGCCTCACTACTACACAACACGCTAAGAATTATGGGAATTTAACAGAAATGAAGACACAGCGGTAGCACAGTACGATGTCAGTTGTCTGAGTTTATTGACTGGAAATGTGGTCATTTTTCCCTTTCTGCATGAACCTCGTCCATTTTTAACTTCTGACCAATCACAGAAGAGCACAAACTCCCAACGCTATGAGAAAAAGTTGCTTTTCTTTCTTTTTTTTTTCTTGCAGCTCCACATAAGAGAACATTTTTATGCTGTTTTTCATTTAAAAAAATACTTTATTTCTTATTTATTTGTCCATCGTTGGGAAACACCACACTGATTTGTACTGATTTATTCTTTCTAAATAAATAATAGTAGTTAGGGTGGTGATTACGGTGCTAAAAATAAAGCTGGGGGGTCAAGGGGAGGTCGTGAATAACTGTTAGTGATCCACTTGCCTATAATTGTTCTCTGTCTGTGTTACGGCAGAACCAAACACGTTACACTGTAGACTCGACACTGTTTGACTGACGTGTCTGTTCTAAAAGGGCGTCATTTAAACAGACAAAAGAAAAATATTCACGCCGTTTAGAACAATGTAAGAACCCGAACCTCCACCTCCTGAATGTGAGTTTACTCCACTGAACCACATGGAGGCTGAGCTTTGTGGGTTTGGACCTAAAAGGACTCAGCCACGTAGGCATGTCCATATTCGGATCATCTGCGACTGATGCAACACTTTTCACATATGTCTATGTTATAAAAAAAATTAAAAAAACAGAAGGGAATCACAGACACCGGAGGTGGAGCATCCGCGCGGTAAAACCCGTTATAGGTGCGCACTTCTGCCCAGTTTAATGACCCGACCGCTGTAGAGTAGTCACTGTAACAGAACTTTTAAGTATTTCCAGCTGTGCTTGACTCTACGTAAAAACCTCAGCACATCCTCCAACGGTGCAATAGTTTTTTGTTTTGTTTTGTTTTTTTGTTTTTCAACTACAAACGCGCGTCTCCGAGTCAATCCCCCACCACCACAGCTGGACTCGGCTCGGCGAATCTTTCTGAGCTGACTTCGTTATTCCAAACAAAAGCTGTCAAACACTCACCGATGATGATAGCGCAGGCGCTCAGCAGCCCGATCTCCTTCTTCAGGGTGACTCTGTCGCTCTTGGACGAGTCCTGCTCCTTCTTCTTTCTCCTTTTGTCCCCCATCTCCTCCGCCTCGCTTGTGTGCAGTCTGCCCGCTTCGGTCCGGTCCAGATACTGTACACTGACTGAACCACGCTCCACACCTCCCTTTCTGCCTCCCTGCGCTTAACTTTGAAGAATATGCTACTAGGATAGAGAGGGTCGTGCGCATGCGCAGCAGCCACTCCGAAGCTCCTACCTTGTCTGAGGTAACAGAGGGTGTGACGCCCGAAAGGTATGGTCGGTAAACAAACAGCCGTCGGTTGTAAGCGGTGTCACTCAGGAAACTTTACTACTGCATTGACGACCACAAACTGGTACTGTCGATTTCATTTTTAACTTTAATATTCGATAATTACAGCCGTTATCTGGCGCTACGTCCCCAGGAGCAGAAATGAACGAACAGTTAACAGTTAGTACAACGTACAAACTGACAGAAAAGCTATTTCTTTGCCTTGTCTACGGTCTGAAATAAAGTTTCTTTTGAATTTTTTTTTCCAGTTATGGGAATAATGATATTATTTAAAAGTACAGAGTTTTTAAATGTTACTATTTTGTCAGTTGGGTTATATTTTAATGTTTTTTTGGGGTTGAAATAAATAAAACAGAACACAGCACAACACAGTTGACAAACACACATATATATGTTGTTTTTTTAAGGTCAGATCTGTAAAGATGCATCTGAACACGTTTTCTGTACTAAACTCTCGCTCTTTTTGATATATATAACATTAGTCTTAGAACTTTTTGACTCGGCATTTGCCCCCTCCTTCCCCCCGTCAAAATCTCCTGCAACACTAAATATCTCCACATGTCGACTGCAGTAGTTGGTAGGTGAGTTCCTCTGCAGTGCTGGGGCGTGGACTGGATTCCTTTTCATCTCCATTTCCAGCTTCATTTTGTAATCAAGGAAAGTGTGAAGCTGTCATGTCATGCCGGTTGTTGGCAACACGTCAATCAAATCAAATGTAGTCACACAGGATATCCGTGCAGTCATGTGCTGTGGTAATTTGATTTCTCTTAAATATCCCACATAAGTGTGTTTTTGGTGGACCAAAAAGCAGTCCTTTTGTCCTGCAGAGTCTTGTTGCTAAAATTAGTTTATACTGGATGTATAATCACTTTTTTTTATATTTTGCACACAGAATCTTCTTCATGCAAAAAAAAGCCCGACTCTGCTTTGAGCTAAATATGTCAGCATGCAAATGTATAGAATTTTAATAAGGGTCGTTAGGCCGAAACCTAAAGCCGTACACGCACCACGAGTTGCACACCTATAAAACCTAATTTACCTTTTGCTCTTTTCATAGTTGGTCGTCTCACCGTTCTTATTTGTATTAAATCTTTAGCTTTGTTTCAGTAGAAAAAGTGTAAAATCTAACTGGACAATTGAGGCGGTCAATTATGATCGACCTTTCTTAGCTAAAACAAGATGTGCAGTTTTACTCTTGTTAAAAACTAGTAAAGATTATTATTATGGATCCAGGAGGAGAAATTCTTAAATAATATCTCCATGTGGTGAACTTCACCAAAAATATTTCGGTGACTCATTCTCCAATGACGTTGAGCCAAAATCTATTCGTTCTATCTGTATCTGCTTCAGTACCTGTGTTGGACTCATCCAAAAATCACATTTCCATTTTCAGTCTTATTATGTTTCTGTGATTGTTTTTCTGTGTCTCACAGGCTTCTACTCAACGACAGTAATTATTTTATGTAAAAGAAATGAAATACAGAAAGCATTTGAGGTGTAATGTCAGCTGCGTTGATGCTGTCTTCTCTCAATCTGTTTAGTTTTTCCCAATACGACGTACTGTCACGCTGATATGCCTTCATTAATTTTTTGCAGGTACTGTCAAACGTCAGTCGGATTTTATTTTCCACAATATTCAGTAATGAGCTGATTTAGCAGCTGCTCCTAGTCGGAAAAACAGCTCGAAAAACCTGCCAGAAAACTCAGACATCATGTTTAATAAGGTGCTTTTTTTAAGGGACTTGTCAGATGATAGTAAACTGCTGCACTTCAACAGAAAGATGTGGACTGTGAACGTGACTCACAGAAGATCGGCCGAGATTAGTTGGTGAGGAGGAGGTTTTAATATCATACCCTGGTGCCAAGAAACAACACACAAGGAAGGAAGGAAGGAAGGAACTTTATTGTCCTATCACCAGAGGTGATACGAAATTAGTTTGTACAACCCGTTCCAAGAATACATGAATAGACAATAAAACAATACAAATAAATTGACAAGGGGAGTCAATCTCATACCAATCCAAACATCAGGCACGAGTCGCCTTCAGCAGGTGCTTTACCGTAGCAATATCAGGTGTTTTCATAGTCATGGCTGGGTGCAACTGCACTTAAACCTGTGAACTCACAGTTTAACCAAATCTCTGCACCAACCAATGAGGGGGGAAAAAAGGATTATCACCAGCAGCAGGTTGGTGTTGTAGACCTAAAACAGGTAGAACTTGTATGGTTGCCAGTGTTGAAAGACAAGAATCTTTATGTTTGTCCTGTACTAGCAATCTACAGCTTAAAGAGTTAAGGTGTTAGGTTGCGACAGGAGAGCGCTGATGAATGCACAATTAACTTGGAGGCTGGCCTCCTTGTTTAAATGGAGGCCCCAACAAAGAGAGGAGTTGCTTTGTTGGCGACAGGAAGGCAAGCTGAAACACTGGCCTCAGTGTAATGGCAGAAGGGTGCGAGGACGCGGAGGAGATGGAGGGAGGCACAGCCAAAATACTGTGGTGGCATAAGGGGAGGAGTAGTGCTATAAACAAATACATCACAGCATTTTAGAAGAGTAGCAGCGGGAGGAAGAGGAGAAGACAAGGAGGATGGAGAGGACTTCAGGCCAGAAGTTGACGAGGAAGACCGGCAGCAAGGGAAGTTCAAATGTAGAAATACTGTGGACTGTGGCGGATGAAATGCAGCATCTTCTGACTTCAAAAAAAAGAAAAAAAAAGAAGTTGGCCTTGGGGATGAGGTGATTGTTACAGCACAGTTAATGTTGTCTCAGAAGAAGATCGTGGCCCTGATGAGACACACATGGACAGACGCGGAGGAAACCAAATTAAAGACTCTCGGGGACATAAACGCCCCCGCTGCCAGGGTGATGAGAGAACACGAGGAGAAAAATGGAAAACAAAATAAATAAAAAAGACAAAAAGCAATTTGAGGACATCTGGTGGACAAATAGTGAATGACAGACGACTGAGAAGAACCCGGGTGTAAATTCAAGTGCACCTAGGATTTATAATCTAATATATTATTCGTTAGATAAAATCCCAAGAAACGTTTAGCCACATAAATAAAAGACCCACCAGCTCAGGTCTTCAGTGTCACACTGTTCGTTTAGTCCTGTGTTTTTATTCCATCCAACTTGAAACCTTAGGTGTCATAGCTTCAAATCTGTGTTCAAACATAGGGACGTTGAAGTTCCCCAGCAAAACAATAGATTTTATAGTTGGGGCATTTTTTCGACAGAGGCCTTCTTAGAGAATCCAGAAAAAGCCAGTTCTGACCATGCTGATTGGACGATACCACTTGGTTTTATAAGAGTCTGTAGGCTGGAAGTTAAGGAGAGTTTGTCCAGTGAGAGAAGTTAGCGAGAGCGGGAGGTTATATGAGGTGAGAGTCCCTGAAGACTGAAAGGTGTAAGAAAAGAAAAACAGTGACAGAATGTTGAGAAAATCCCGAGGAACTTAAACGCAGACCCAGAGGAAGTGGAGGGAGAAGAAGCCACGAACCCGACACCTTTATGCATCCAAGGACAGGCTCTCACTGCCTCTCATTCACTCATTCATACCGGCCTTGATCTATTCTTACTGTAGAGCTTCTGGAGTGCCTGCTCAAATGGTTTGCCATACTGCCCTCAGTACACATCGTTTGTTAACAGGGAACCCAGAGTTCTTGCGGTCAGGGAAAAGAGCTGCATAGCAACCCTGCACAGCACTTCCTGTTAGGCCTGTGTGGGGGGGTCGGGGGTGGCAGGGGGTTGTAGGCCGGGGCCTGTTGTTCGCCGCTGTGCCCTCTCTGCCTTCAGAAAAGCAGCTGGGAAACAGTTCACTTACCAACGGCTTTGTGCTTCATTGTGTGGAGAAGAGAAATGAGCGGAAAAGCAAAAACAGCCCAAGTTCAGTCCACTCCATATCCATATGTGGCATCGACAGGAGTTCGTTTTTGTCAAAACATATTTCATTTTAACATGGATCGGTAAAAGACTACAACGCTCCTTCACAGAGAGGTATCTAATTGGAAGATTTTCAGTATAACTTGAGTTTAGGAGCTCGCGAACAGCATAAAATACTGCAAACCTCTATTGAATGTGAACGGAAAATGTAGCTCACTTTTTTTTCACCACACTCAGGGTTCTGAGGTTATTGGAAACATCATTTAAGGGGATTTGGGGGCCAGACTTACCCACAAAGATAAATCAAATCACCAGTTTATTCCTTTTTTTCTTATAACTTATTTTCTTAGTATTACATCATTCTACATGATTTGGCCTAAAAGAGCGTGTGGTACATCCTTAGGCTGAGGCCAAAAGTGTGTGAATCCCAGCCAATATCTGAAAGACCTAAAGAGAGCAGTGGGTGGGTTAGGGTGAGAATCAAATGGGGGTTTTTTTTTGTTTTGTTTTTTAGCCATGGTGCTGCTGAGAGCGCCCACTGTCTGTATATACAATCAGCAATAAAACAGATGCTTCTTAGTTTGTCCTGTGCAGCACAGCAAAACAGCTGTTCTGTTCTGTGTCGTGCAGGGTGATCAAACATTTTTTCAACTCTGTTTACAATTGTGTGTGTGTTTGGTGACAGTGCTTGGACAAACATTTTGTATTTTTGAGGGCTTCATGAAAAACTAATTGAATAAAACAAGTAAAATAAACCCACATCGTTTACCTTTTTAACTCTTCTGACATTAACGATCATAATCTGCCTTTTAAAAATGTTTTAATTTACATAAAAAGAAATATATAAAATAAATAATTATATTTGATCTTAACTCCAATTATTTCTGTTATTTTTAAATAACGATAACGTTTACAAAAAGAATAACAAAAAATAAGAAATATTACTTTTTTAGTTGCACCAAACTAAGGTATGATATTAACGTAAACAGATCACCATATGCAGACAGAAATCGCGTTTTCAATCGTAAAGGGTCTTTTACGTGTATACGCTTCCCTGTTGTTGTTTCTTATATGTTAACTTCTACCGCCATCAAGTGGTTAGTAATCTTATTACATTCCATATTCGTTGACACTGAACATTGCAGGAAAATGTGTTTGTTTTTAAAACATACAATACGGACAATACAAATGTTTTTTTAAATAAATACAAGAACATTTTTTATCGTTTCTCCAAAGATTTGACACTGCACGTCATTTTTGAGTCAGCTTTATTAAGACAAACAACAACAATTTGATGCAGGGAAAAAGAAAAAACAGTAAACTAATTCTTGGCCAGTATTAATTTATCCTAAAGGGCAAAGAGCAGTCAAATCAAAGTAACTTTAGCCAGAGCTCTGAGAGAAGAAGAAAAGGCTGAAGAAGAATGCAGTAAACAGTACAACTTTAATGGATTAGTCTTTTGGTACTTTAAAGGTTTTTGAAGTAGTAGGTTTTTGAAAGCCTTTGACTGGAATTTAGATGCAGTGACACAGAGGACAAAGGTAGGACTTTGACCTAGTTTACAGCCTTCACACCCTGACTTCACATCTGTTTAGCTCTTATCAATAATCCTCTGCTGACAATAATGACCAGCTCCTCCACGAACAGACGTCCAACCTGCTTTTTAACTGGCAGAACCAGATACACACGAGCAGACAGAGGCTCACGTCTCACCTCAAATACATGAGGAAGGGCAACACACACACACACACTCACGCACACAATGACAAACTACCAGGGTGTGTTTAGCTTGTGGACCCAAATTATCTTAAGGTAATCAATAGGTCACCTGTTCTGTTAAAAATTAATGTGGTGATATTGATTGATAAGGTGAACAGTTTATGTTCAACTGAAAAGTAAATACACTGAACTGAAGTGAGGTTTTGTACAAAACAGGATAATGGATGAAAAATACAAAGATAGAAAAATGTACAAAATATTATATGACTGTGTCATATTATCACCATTGACCACAATAATATATTTTAAATAGATCTTTTCTCTGTGCGGTGATAGGTCTGTCATAGGTCCCCATTATGTGAATTTATACCAATAAACATATACTAACGTAGGCGGCCATGTTTCAGGCCAAGAGGGACCTTTACTGTATATATTGTGTAAAATTATATTATATTGTATCTTAACCTGGGCCTTGAGTGCCAAAAGATCCCAATGGCTGGATAAGAAAAAAAAACAAAAAAAACTATAGTATAGAAGAAAAGCATACATTAAATACGTTTTCTAGCCCTTCCCCAAAAGCATACATTAAATACGTTTTCTAGAAAATTATTTTTTATTTCAACAAGAACCTTCAGGTACATTTTCTTATCATACCTCGTTTTTCTCTTTCCATCTTCCATCATGTTTTATATTGGTTTGTACTGTTGGGTAGCTATGCTGACTCGGCAAAATAATCCCAGATAGTTCTCTAAAAATGTTTTTTTATTGTTATTATTTTAAATTAAAACTATCCCTTTAATGACGAAACGTTACAGTGGGAATACAAAGAGCAGTAAACCGTTTTCGGTGGCTTTAGGGGTCTCGGAAAATAACTGGCCTCATTCAACTTGTAAATTGTTTTACAGTCCCCTGAGTTTACTACCTGAATGACGCACCACCCACCGGTCTCTAAGTGGGCGGGGCCTGTGATGCGTTTGAGTGTATGTGGAAAAGTCCGTGTATTCGCGCAGTCATAGCAGACACACACTGACACTGTCAGTGAGAACAGTCACCTGTGGAGCCGAGGAGGTCTGCTTTATATTCGGGGTTTTTTTTAGTTCGCCACAGCTGTTTGACGTCTGAGTTTGACCCGAATCTTCAGAATGACGGACACACTTTTACCAAACGGCATTAAGGACGGCGGGGGAGACAGCAGCTACTTCAGAAAGGTGACTTTTGACTATGTTTTCTCACCATTCGTACCATTTTCAAGTGTCCTGCCAACGGTTTATTTTATGCCCAAAATACCCGTTAATTCGATTTTAAAAAGCCATTGCAGCAAACGTCAGAGACCAATGTATACTGTAGTCATTTTGACAAAAACAACAGTAACAATTTATTTTATTTATTTTTTCAACAAGTATAAAATCGCAAAGGCAGAGTCATGTATAAAAACAACAACAAAACATACCAATGGAGAGCTTTAACAGTCATCGTTAACAATTTCCTTGTTTAAAAGAAAAACATGTTTGAAAAACTGCTTTTAACAAATGTTATGTAAATATGCTGGTCACTCTTGACTTTAACCATTACAGTAGTCTACGTATAAATTACCCTGAGTGAGATTAAAAAAAAAACAATACCTAAAAACAGGGTAAAAAAAAAACAAGGTTTGTGTTTTGTTTTGTATTTAAAAAATAAATTAATAAATAATTGTCATTTCTTGCCCTTAACCTCCTGTCACAACCACAGCTCTGTCAGTTTCAGGTGTTTTTCTCGGTGTGTGCTTGTTTGCATACTTTTTTGTGATCTTGAGAGGCCGATTTGTCCCTAATGATGACCAAAGTCTGGACATAATCAGACGGTATTATCGATGTAGTCATCAACATGTAAATTGTTCCTTTTATGTATTTCAGAATTACTCTATAAGAATTGCATGTTAAAGATGTTGACAATCACTTTGTCATGAGTGTTGAGATGCAAATACAAGTAGCAGTTTACTTTACTCTATGAAGAGCCCATTTTCTCCTTTGTATATTTACTTAGAAAATGAGGCCTTTTCATCATTCAAATTTGTGGTTGGGCTGACACAACAGACGTGATCCAAATGCTCCTTATCCGTTACATCAGGTCCGGCAGAGAAACCTCCCTGACCAGTTCTCTGTGTCTTGTGACCGTCGCAAACAGTGTGTCTTATTAGTGGTCAAGATAAACGCTCTTGCAGTGGTGGTGTGATCGTTTGATGCATCTTTTTTTTTTTTTTTTTTACTGAGTTCTCCTCATGCCATGTTGTGGTCCACATGTAATTTCTCCTCATTTTAACAGTGTCTTCAAACAAAAAAGTGTTTTCACAGACAAGCTTGTGTAGATGGACCAATGAACAGAGTCTTTGTGTCTCTCGATCCCCTGAATCCCCCCTAAAAGCTCTCTGGTTTAAAGCTCAGTGCTGCACTTCCTCTGTCTATTACAAGGTCAGTGGATACAGGGTCTCCGACTTCAGTAGCACATTATAGGAGACTGCGAGTCCAATTCCTGAACAACAACTCTTTACCTCAAATACTGTAACACATGTTGTAGGCTTTTACACGTCTACTTTGATCCATTTCTTTCATCCTGTTCTAATTTCCTTTCCACTTTGCATTTCCCAGCTCTGGACTCTTTAAACTTTCATTGCAGGATCTCTTTTCAGTATAAAAGAAACATCCACTGAAACCACAAGGTCCTGCTTTCTCATTGTGTAATGGTGAAGGGATTTGCAATTTGGAAAGTTTCTGGTCAACTTTTTAACTAAGCAGAGCCAAGATGATCTTAGCTGCCATGTCTGTGCCCCACTTTCTCTTGGGTGAAAATGAGTTTAATGAGTTACAAGGCTTCACTGGGTTCTACTGATGCCCGAGGGAGCTGTTGTGGTTCGGGGCTTCTTTCCCAGCCTTCCACGGTTTCACCTCCAGCTGGCTAACGACCGACTGGATGGCTCAGAGATGGAAACATGGCACGATTAAAAGCCGAATCGGCATGTTTCTTCTCCTTATCCTCCTCAACCAGTGGGAGCATTGACGTAGCATCTGGACCGAGGTTGTCCTTTAGCCAGACCACAGACACAAATTGACAACATGTGTCCTGGTTCGCGCACCAGATGAGCTCCCTTAACTTAGAAATACCGTAATTCTCTTTACCAGGAGTTGTTTTGAAACAAAGGCAAAGATACAGCTGCGATCACACACGGCTGTTATCGGTTGTTTAGTGGAAATACACCTTCTCCTGGCTAAATTAAGGGCACTTTCCACGGATCTGTCACTTGAAACCAAGTTGATAAAGTTGATCCTAAACTCTCATGCAATGTTCATTAGTCAGAGGGATTCACTTTACGGGGATGATTCCTTTAGACTGGATTAACTATTAGCTGTAGAGGAACATCTCAATGTAAACACCTGTATAAACAGTGTTTGTTTGACCTGTGAGAAAATGTTGAGTCAACAATTATCAAATGGCATCAAAGGTTTTTACTGATCTCAATACCTACCTATTCCCTACCCACTGACATCGTTTTTTTTAATTATTTTTGATTAATAATAGATAATTACATATAATTAAATAATTCATTATCATAAATCTATCCTGACTTGAACCTTTATCACCTGAAGACAATTAAGAGCATACCCAGAGTATATTTATTGGACAAACTGCATGTGCGTCATGCTGTCCTAACTTGGTCTTGGCTAAAGGCTCTCTTTGGCTGGTTTCCATTTCAATTTTAACCACTTAAATCAACCTTTCATACCATGAATCCTTGGTCAACATATACTCTATAACAGCAGACGTACATCCATCAGGTCTGGTATTCACTGTTACTACAGTAGTGCAGTACAGACCAGGAAGACAAATGGACTGAATTGCTCATTTGCAGACATTATATGCAATGATAGGAAGGACAGTTTAACAATTTAAACTGTGCTTTTTTTTAACAGTGTTTGCTGTTCTTAATTGTCTGCAATTTCATTTACAACACGGCAGTCAACCGTTCACAATTCCATAGTTTCTATCAATTCTAAAGTCGAAACTGGCTGCTGTAGCCACCACTAATCAACAGACACTCCCCTGTTCTCCAACAACACGTATACACCCAGTTTTTATGTAATGACTGACATTAAGAAACCTAGCGATAAGTCCACACCCTCTCCTGTTTTGTAACATTGTCGTCGCTGTGCCGTCATCGAACGAAAACCTTGTGCTACAGTATGTCCAGCCAAGCTGTGACCTCAGCAACTTCAGTACAACTCGGTGCTGTAATTCATGACACATTTGTTTGTATTGCTGGTTAATCATTTCAAACACAGCTCACTGAAGTGTGTGTACAGGAACACCCAAGTCATCATCATAAAGTGGTATCGAGTAAATCATTTGCACTGTCATCCTCCTTGGTTGATCCCTGCTGTCCTTTCCATTTGACACGACAGTCTGTTGTGAATCAGGATGTCTACGTGTAAAGGTGTAAATGCTGCTTCAGGTGCAATGGATTTTGGTGTATTTTATTGTACTTCCACACTTTTCCAGTATACAAAAATAATATTTGCATTCACACACGCAATGGCTCACAATTCTACTGCATGGTTCTGGCTTATGCAATACCTGAGATGTGTTATTTCTAGATCACAGCCCAAAGACAAATGTAGTCCATGCACATTGAACCAATCAGGAACAGAAGAAAAGTATATTATTTTACCAAGATGATATTTGAAATTGATGAAATTCATGTTACAAATCTCTGAGTCTTTTCCCCAAACTGTCACTAATTATTAATCCCCGCTTCTGAATCGAAGTTTTACGACATTTACACAGTTGGTTTTAATCTGTCCTTTACTCTTTTTTTTATTGAAATCAAACAACTAAAGCTTGTTTTCCTGTAGACATCAAGTATTAAAAGTGTTACATGTTGGAGACAGTCATCCAACTGGTTTTACTAAGCAGACTGGTCTTTGTTAATCGCCAAACTCGAGTACAGACCACACCTAGTCAGTCAGCATAAATGTCTGAGGTCAGTCTTTCAGATGTTTTTATGCAGACTCACAGACTTGGGAAAGCACAGACACTAATGATCGTAAGGGAGAGTACAATCGCAGTCACCCACATACAGTTTAAGCCATGAAACTTGATGAACGTTTATGAAGGTTTTTTTTTTTTTTTTGCATTTTTATTAACTTTAAATAATGTATGGTATCTAACTCAAGCCTAAGCTCAACCAAAATGACTTCAAGTTCATGGAAAACGAAAACATAATGACAATTTGCATTTACTATAGTTTGGGTTTGAACCAGATCATCAGAATTTAATAAAAAAGCTTCAATGGTTGTGGCCTCAACTTCACCTGATGTATGTGAAACACCTGTTTACAATGTGACTGGTTCATCATCATCATCATTCATGTCATCTATCCTGGAAATGCCATAATGTGCAGCTCTATTCATACTCACTCTCATTAGTTTTATGTTTCTTGTCAGTACAGTGGCAGGAAGTAAAAAAAAAATCATGCAAATGACAACCAACAAGGACAAGGAGGAAATACATTATTATCTGCTGACAAGATTGTCACTCTTCTCTTCTTATCTCAGGGCTGTAACCCGTTTGCCCAGACTGGAAGGAGCAAACTGCAGAACAAACGTGCAGGCCTGAACCAGCAGATCATCAAAGAGATGAGGATGAGGGCCGGAGCCGAGAACCTGCTGAAGTAAGTACAGAAGTGAAAGGACACATTCTGCTCACGCTGCTTCTGCTCAGAGAGAAAGAATGAACTGTTCTGAAACAGAGTGGTTGCACAGATACTGTGTGCATTTGCATGGTTACATAAACAGGAGCCTCACATTCTAAGTTTATCTCTGCCCATCCTTCTCTGAGCTCCGTTGTCTCTGTTGTACGTGTTGTCAATGACCTGCGGTCAACTGCAGCTGATCTGTTGATGTCTGTCGAAGTTGGTTTCACGTCAGTTGCATTATAATGTTTCATGAAGGGGAAAAAAGTCCAAAACAGAAATATTAAAGAATCGATGAAAAGTTTAAACCTACTGTAGGTTTTTGACTGCAGCGCTGACATAAACGCCTGTACAAAGAGGCAGAAGAGCAAGAAAAGATAAAAAAAAGTGGCTGCTCATCACAATAGCAACATGATCTCTTTGCTGAAGTGTGAGAAACTACAGTTTTTGCCTCGTCAATCTGAAGGATGTCAACATAAGGAATTGAACATTACTCAGAAGGAACAGAAAATAAGCTACAATCTAATTCTTTTGACAGTTTCACTCCACACTCCTACTGAAGCTCAATGAGACGAGAGCTTTTACCAGTCAGAATGTGATGTATGACTGTTTGTACAGTGTCAATGTTTAACACTGTCACTTCTCCGGCCACAGTGTGTTTAAACTTTCTCTGACTTTGTCGTTGTTATTATTCGGCTTCTGTCATTCAACCTGCTCTAGATTTGATTTCACTTTTACAAATACTTTCTTGCTTCACAGAAATGTGCAGGAATACGTGTTAGATATTGTTGCCATATGCAGTATTTTCCCCATAGAGTTCAACCACTGCTTCCTGTGACATTGGACAACACTGCCCTGTCCTGTGACTCTACTGATGGTATCAGGTTGCCAAAAGACAAGCAGGTTGGCCAGAAAAAAAAGGTTAAATGCTAAAAATCCAATTGCTATAATATAGCACAGTTAGCTTGGAATTGACAAAATAAAGCTAAGAATTATCCGGAAGTTACTGTATATAAGACACTTTTATTCAGTCCCTGCAGTTTATCAGATCCCAGGCATTAGAACATTAGGGAAGTCCATGTTTCCTTTTGTTTTTCATATGTCATCTACAACATCACCAAAACAGGCTCGACTGGAAAAATAAACAAGTCAGTCAACTTCCAGCTGCTTGTTATGCCAAAAAAGTAGCTGAAAAACGTTACGTCATCTTTCATGACTCCTTCCATTGTTTAAATCTGTCCATAAGGAAATCCAAAATTAAGTAAGTGGGAGAACGACAACCTCAAAATGTCCCAAATGTTCCAAAACAGCTCATCAACAAAAATGGAAAATTATAACCTACAACAGACGTGTTTACTGCAGACTGGATTAAATTGCACATGACTTTGTCACAGAGTGGAGACTGTGTCAAGTTCTGTGTTTCTCCATCTGGAACGGACCATCGACTGTGTATTTTCAGGCCTGTCAGATTTGGTTTGCTGAGCTGTCAAGTGCACTGTAGTATCAGTGTAACTGAGACTTCAACCTGGAGTGGACAGAACCGCTCGTGGTTCCTCAGTTTGAAGGCAGTTTTCGTAGCTTCTCCCTCTCCGACGCCTGTATCATCTCTGTAAATGGTGGTGTTGAGATTAGTCCGGTTTTGTGTGTATAAGTGTGTATGTAAGTGTGTGTGTGTATACATGTGTGTTGCATTTGTCTAACCCTGCTGTCCACATTCCTTTGGTACAAAAGGTAGTCTCCTCAGCCAAACCTAGGGGCAAATGGACTCTCTTTGTGTGCATGTGTGTGTGTGTGTGTGTGTGTGTGTGCACCGGTGCAGCTGCAGCCCAGACATCAGTCTGGACTCATTTCTGACTTCCAGGTAGATTCCCAGCTTTATTTTAAGGCCTTAAATCAAAATAAGTTTGACTGCAGTTGTGTGTATAGAGTTACAGTAAAGTTCCATTAACTTTAGGTCAGCGTTAACACAGCTCGTGCTTTGGTCATGCCTGAGACTGCTGTTGTGTTTGTAGAAGACACAAGGTTCCAGTACAATGTGGATGAAGGTTGTCAGTGCACTTCAGGTCTCACCGTCACAAAAGACCTCCTGTAGGAGTCAGATCTGGAGACGGAGATACAGTACAGAGGTTGACGAGAGCGAAACATCTGCAGGCTCACAGGTTTGGGGAGAGGGTCTGCTGTGAAACCGACATAAAGATAAAGAAGACCAGGTTGCACTGCTGGACACAGATAAGGTTATTGTTGGACCATGTGTGCATTTGTCTTCTTTTTCTAACACCCGTAGATGTGATTTACAGGCTCTATTCTCAGAAATACACAAATCAATACATCATAAATCTACCCGTACAGTGTGTATGCCAACACACACACACACAAAAAACAACACACAAACAGTGTTATCTCTGCTGTGCAGTGAATCCAATGGTTCCATGTCACTGTCCTGATTACCACCCACATCTACCCATGTCTTTCTTAAGGTTTGAAAACTATTCAATTTAATGTTTTTCATTTCATTTTGAACTCACAAATAAGTTGACAAACAGAAACACATAACCCATTTTTAGAGATAATAACATGTCTGGTTTGTCATGGCTCACTCATGCACATGTTTACACACAACTTTTGCCGAGGTGTTTAATTATACAGTGTGAAGCACATTTTCTGTAGATATAAACAGCCAGTGGAGTGTTTTCTGTTGGTGTGCTGCCCCCCCTTGGTGTTTATCGTAGACTACACCCGTGCCGTAAGAAGGGCATTTAATAAAAGAGTGGTTTCATGGTCGTAATGAGGTTTTAAGCTTCATTTCTGCCGTAGATCAGAGCCTGCGTGCTGGCTGCAGCAGGGCACAGTGACGCACGCCTGTGGTCACGGAATAACCCCAGGAGGCCATCTTGTTTTTGATAACCACATAAGGAATGCACAGATCAAAGTTATCAAGCTTGACTTTTTAAAAAAAATTGTTTTCTGCTGTTTTTGCTTATGTCCCTCGTGCAGAGCCTCATCCAACAACAAGGTTAAAGAAATGGTTATGTTGGAGTTGAGCTACGTGAACGCCAACCTACAGCTACTGACGGGACAGCTGGAAGCACTGAACAGCTCGGTGGATGTTTACCAGAACACCCAGTAAGTACAGCACCATCCCTGCTTCTCATTAGTTAGCACTGACTCTGCTCTATTACTGTTCCCTGCTAGAACAAAACAGTCACCTTATGTGAATACGCTGCGGTTGGCAACATGAACGTGTCAATTTGATTAGAAAAGTATTAAAATTTCAAAGCATTTTTTATAACAAAATTTATATTTTTATCAATCTTCATGGTTCATAATTTTTTTAAGTAGTATTTTTTCTAACAAAATTGATATTTTTATCAATCTTCATGGTTCATATTTAGGAATGTTGATTTATTTAGAGTAATCACGATTAATTGTAATTTATTATGGTCATTATTAATCATTACTAAATCACCGCTGTGATTAAAGACTCACACTTATGCGTTTACTTAAACAAAAACCTGTAAATTCTATCTCAAACAGAGAATGATGGCAGCGACAAAGGGTGACAAAACTGAACAATGGAGAGTTTTGTTAGTAGTTTTTTCTTTCGTCACACACTGCCTGAAACGACACAAATTCTAATTCTAAATTTAAATGAGAAGTGAGATTAAGATCAGGATAAAGAGACATGTCACGTCTCCAAAAGACTCAAGTACTTCATGAATGCAGCGTTGAATATTTTCTGTCCGATGCTGCCGTAACAACAGTATTTGGATTCCAGGATTTTTGAAGTTGTTCTTGTCCTCGTCCTTTATTTCCTGTTCCAGAGCTACACAGATGTTTAAATGAATAACTTGTTTACAAAAAGATAAATTATTTAGAAAATGGCTTCAAACAGGTTAAACTTGAAAGATGTCGTGATAAAGAAAACTCCTAATATGCTTATTTGTTCCAAATATGTTCTGCATATTTTCGAGGGAGAACCACAATACCTGATTTGCAAGTAGACAATGCAAAAATATGCAAAGTCTTTCACCACCAGAACATGTAGCTGATTCCCAAGAAAATTCAAACTGATCATGCTGGAGGGCAGGTGGTGTAGCTTTAAGTGGAATGTTGTGTAGTGGTTACTATGGTAACAGTTTTAAAGGACCATTGACAGAAATCTACCAAGGCTGTTTCACAGCAACAACATAAGGACATTTGTCATACAGACTGGCTTCCTGGTTTTGGAACATTAACTCTCACAAACCAATGATTTTCTGGGGACAGACAGGACCAGGAATTATCTGCATTTCCAATGCAGAAACCGTAGCAACAGTGGATGTTCAGGCTAATATTGAGCATCGTATTGCTAGCAAGACTCACTTTAAAGTAGATGGTGAAGGTAATAGTTTCTCTTGCCACATAGTGCTACAGTATGTACTTTGTGTACCAAAATACTATAAATGTCTTTTCTATGCAATCCTTTGGCATTTAGTTTTTTCACAGGGGACTAAATACTGAGGTGTGGGAATATTTGGATTCTTAGAGCTACTGTCAGGTTCTCATACCAAGCACCCTAGACCTACTGTCAGGTTCTCATACCAAGCACCTGCTCACGGCTCCAGACAATAGCCAAAATAAGAAAAGACAATCTGCTGTTGACCATTGTGTGTTTTCTTTGAAAGCAAATTAAAGTCCTTATGTCATCATTCCACACTGCTGCCAAACAAAACTACAAAGATGAGTGTGGACAGTAAAAATGTTGGCAGTAATATTAGATATGTTGGGAAAGTCCAGCCTCGTCTTTTCCAGGCAGGTGACTCAGGTGGATGAGGTTGTACAGACACAATGGAGTGTTCATCTCTGCCCGGCCTGAAACACAAGCTCAGTCTTAGGTTGATAGACAAAAACCTCCTCTCACATTTTTTAGGCCTTTTCCCCTGGGTCCACCAGCCTGTGAATAGTATCCTTCCATAGTTATTTCTCCCTCAGACCAGATTAAACTGGTTCTGACATGAGGTAATGCTTCACTGAAAGCACACGTTTAACCCACACTATTGTTTTCAACATATTTCTTTGGTTTTGTTGTCTTGTTTTTTTTTTCTTTCTTGTTCTAATTTTAGCCACAGTGGTAATATAAACCTAGTCTCATGTTCCATCTACACATTGTAGTCAGTTTAAGTTGAACTTTATCTTTTAGATTTACTGAATTCCAAGTAGAGAACTTTTTACTTTGGGTTTCATTTTTAGCCAATTCTTGTTTGTCTCTGTGTACGTTCTGAACTTTTAAGCACAGATAAAAGTGATGTCAAACGATAACAGTCAGATAAAGATGTCGACATCTCCGTCAGCATCATCAGTTTCTGCAACATAAGAAGTCAAATGACCACGTGCTTATCTGTGTTACTGTTGAAACCTCCTAGCCTCTGGTTGGCTACATGTGGTCAGAATATGACCTTACATTTTTCTTCAGCACAGTTTTGATTTTAAAAGCTAAACAGTTGAGGCTGTGCCGTGTTCTCACCTCACACTTAATGTGCCAGCGTTTGAGGTGCAGGTCTGTTCCGTGTCAGACACACTGGCACGTAAACACAGATGGAGAGGGAGTGAGCTGCTGGAGAGCTTTTAAGATTTCTGCTTCTCTCTGAACACACACACACACACACTTGTGCCCCCCCCCCCTCTCTCTCTCTCACTCTCAACAACACCAGTGGATAACACTGCAGGCCATACGTGCTTCGTCAGTGTAACTAAGGAATGAAGTTCAGTAGGATATAGAGCAAGTTCACCAAAGAAATGCTGCCCTTCCGTCAAGTGATGAATGAATAAGAGCTGAAACCTAGACCTGATGGTGATGATGTCTGAAGACACTAATCCCTCTTATCTTCAGCTCTATGAAGAGAAACTGTATACAGTATGTTCCTGGGTAATGGTGACTCAACGTGTTTGGCATGTGGATACAAGAACTGATTCAAGAATTTTTCTTTTTATTTAAACATAAATACTCTTTTATTTCCGGACAACACCTCAGTTTTTAAAACTCATGTTTATTTAAAAAAAAGGCAGTGCACAGGTACGGTAACAGCTCGTCATTCTTCTCTCGTGGGTGAAGGGCCTTGTGTTTTTATAACCTGCCTCTGATCAGCAGGCAGGTATTTGTCACTTTGTGTTTCTTTAGCTCTGATAACAAGCTGAACCTGCTTTCCATCTGTCGGCCGCAGCGACCATTAAGGTAACAGCAGCACAGAGGATGTAATCTGTGCTTCACAGATGAGAGTAGGAGGTTTTTATGACCGACACTGTTTACAGTCTAGTGGTTCAAAGTAAGGGAAGGTGAAGGATGGTTCACGACAACTGTGTGTGGATTAACGGTTCAAGAAGACCTGTGTTGGAGGTGTGGGGGTTGACTGTAGGGGGGGGGGGTGTTGTATATAAATCCTCACTCCCCCCCAGTGAGCACTGTGTCCGCCATCTGCCTAATCTGCTCTCAGTTAAACGAAACAACACCAAAGGTTAAACAGCGATGTTAACTCAACCTCAACCTGCGGAGCGGCTCCTGCTGGATCAACCTGGTATCAACAGGTTTCATGTTAGTGTCACGTGCCCCACCTTGGAGCCTGCTTTTCCCTCACAGAAACCTTTTATTCTCTTGGTGGGTGTTTACAAAATCAGCTTTTCATGTTGAACCACGATAACCTGATATCTGAGTGTCGTGTTCGTTTTTTTTTTTTTTATCAAGACTTTACTGAGTCACGTTCCACCTAAACCAACATGTTCTAACAAACTGCTAATGATATCACATGATGTGTTTGTCATTTGTTCTTTTTTTATCTTGTTTTAAATTGTTGTTTAAACAATACTTCTCAGAGATTGTGTTGTAAAAACATGTATTATATATGAACAATAATGATGTTTTGGTTTTTTTGCCATTTTTTTTTTGCAGCGAAACTGCCAACATCCCACTCATTGCTCTGGGTTTGAAGGAAAATTATATATGAACAATAATGATGTTTTGTTTTTTTTGCCATTTTGTGTTTTTTTGCAGCGAAACTGCCAACATTCCACTCATTGCTCTGGGTTTGAAGGAAACAAAAGAAGTCGACTTCTCCACCCCTTTTAAGGTACATAGGAAAAAATGTTTAGTACATAAATATAATTCTGTCTGTAGACATTTTCCGGGTCTGTCACTGATAGAATGATGAATCTATGCACATTGTATTTATTTAAAAAAAAAGTGTCAGACAATAAGTTCAGTTTTGTTTTTTTTGACAGGACTTCATCTTGGAGCACTACAGTGAAGATGGCAACAGTTATGAGGATGAGATTGCTGACATGATGGACCTGAGACAGGTACTTTTGTCTGTTGTATTCTCTAATATATATATATATCTATACAGGCTATTCAGACAGAACTGAATTCTGTATATTCTCTGTCTTTGTTTTATGTCAGGCTTGTCGAACGCCAAGTCGAAATGAGGAAGGAGTGGAGCTCTTGGCGAAATACTTCAGTCATCTTCCTCTGATAGAAAGCAGATTCTTCTCTCCGAATCATCAGCCTGGGATCTTCTTCACCTGGTACGATTCTATATAATATCAATATATAAACCTTAACAATAAGTACAGAAAATATTGTAATGATTGATTGATGATATTTCAATCCTAAGAGGAAACGAAAAAATATATAATCATGACCAAAAAAACAAAAAAAAACAACAACTTACAATTAATTCAGTAAAGAGGACCTTTAATATATTGTTGTAGTTGTTGTTGTTCTGATGTGTGTCGTTGCCAGGCTTTTATTTAACTTGGTGTGAAGTGTCTTAAAGAGTCAGTGACAGCTGGTCCTTGTTTCTCACAGGTATGACTCATTCACTGGAGTACCAGTGTGCCAACAGAACCTGTCACTGGAGAAGGCCAGCATCCTCTTCAACATGGCTGCTCTGTACTCTCAAGTCGGTACTCGTAGTAACAGACAGACCATAGGGGGCCTGGAAGAAGCCATTTCCTCCTTCCAGAAAGCTGCAGGTAGGAACGGTGATAGGTGAAAAAACTCAGTGGTTTCTAACAGAATTCAACAGACGGACGTGAAGCACCACAACATGCCATCATTCGTCCAAGCCTCAGATCTCATCCTTCTGTGCAGGCATTTTCTGAGTACTACACCATTACAGAGGCGCAAAAGTGTTCTTTATAAATAGTTCAAGTTCAGATGTAGCCTTATGTTAAGTAAATATAAATCAGCCTCCTCCCTCTGAGTCCTGCTCTGTAACTGGGGAATGAATGAACGTAGTTGTAGCTCATCCCTGGCATCCTATCATGTGGCTGAGCTCCAGAAAGTACTATTCACACAAACAACCCTGTGCAGGGTCCGGGAGCTCAGACAATTCTGGAGAATTATGACTTGGCAGTATGTGGAGTATTGCAGTGTAATTACACCCTGAACAGGCTCCAGCTTTGGTTGTAGTGCATCAGTGGCTGTGATTAAGGCCTGGACTGCGGTGCACAGGAAGAGGAGCATTGTTTGTAGAGGAAAAAGTGGCGGGTGACTGCTGAAGAGCTGCCACAGTGCCCCGTTAAGCCAGTGACATATGTACATGCAGTTCAGAGTGAAGGAGGGGTCAGTCGTATAAATGAAGATTAGTGAGTTAGTGCTCTGTTATTACGTTGTCTGCAGCTCTTCGTCTGCCAGGTTTTTAATCTGCACAATAAAAAGGCATGAAATGCACAGGGTCCTTTGGTCTGGTTCAGTATGAAGGAACAAAAAGTTTGTGACTGCTTCAGAAATGTATGAAGGAACAAATTGAAAAAGTTTGTGACTGCTTCAGAAATGTTTAACAATCCAAACCCTTACGTATGTACAGTTGGTAGCCTGTTACTTAGATTCATTGGATGGGTATACAACAAATATCATTCGATAATAAGGCAATTAGTGAGTTTATTTGCTGAGACTATTTGGATTTGTATGTGTATTTACAGTTTTGAAATGTATAAATTTAAAGTTTGAAAGCTAAGATATTTAAAAGTGCCATCAACATTGGTAATTATCATGACACATGTTAATAAATAGGACTGTAATAGGATCAGTTTCAGATTTATTCTCACCTTTTCTCATCACTGTCTTTTTCCAAAGAGTCAGATATTCTCTTTGGGATGACTCTTTTCCATATCTTCTTCACTTCTTCGACAGAGACAAATGTCCTTCTTTCTCATCAAACCTCTCCTCAAAATCCCCAAATACCATCTCTTCAAAAAGCCTCTACAAAAGTTACCTAAGTTGGTGAAATATTTTTAGTTATTGAAGTTTGTGCTGTCATGCGATCACTCCACAGGCATCCTGAACCACCTGAAGGAGACATTCACTCACACCCCCAGCTACGACATGAGTCCAGCCATGGTCAGTATGCTGATCAGGATGATGCTGGCTCAGGCTCAGGAGTGTCTGTTTGAGAAGACTGCTCTGCCAGGGATCCGCAACCAGTTCCAGTCTCTGATGAAAGTGGCTCAAGAGGCTTCAAAAGTAAATACCAGCGAAATATAAACACATCCACACACATATATATAAACAGGCCTTACTTTTTTAATCTGTCAACAAAATGTTCTTCTTGTTTTTTGTTTTTGCTTTTGACTTTTGTTGTGCTAACCCTGATCTTCCTTTTGTTCTGCCAGGTCTCGGTGGTAACTTGATCTTCCTTTTGTTCTGCCAGGTCTCAGAAACCTATGACCAAGTCCATCAGTCCATGATCCAGACACCAATCAAAGACAATGTGCCCTTGTTCTGGTCAACAATGGCTCAAGTCAAAACCAACCACTATCGCTCGATGGCACACTACTTTGTCGCCTCAGCTCTTCTGGACCACCAGTGTAAGGACTTCTGTGTAGCTCAGAGGATTTTAAATAGGAAAAAATACCAATTTGGGATTTGAGATTTAGCAAGGACTGAAGACGGAACAAAGCTTTTGATGAGCAGCGAACTGACTCCATAGATTCAATGCACTATCATGCATTTCCTATACCAGAAAACAGTCTTCATTTTTTTTGTATTTGTTAACAACCTCAGCCTCCAACATTTCTGAACTTTTAGTCTTAAGTACAAATTGAATGTTTGACACATACAAACGTTTAATATTGTAGTACTTTTTTTTAAAGCCTGGTTTTGAACCAGGCTGTGTTAAACCTGATCCTTCTTTTAAGGTGCAGAATAGGCCAGTGTTTTGGTCATGTCAGACGACCAGTCGGAACTTCAGCCACAATGCTATTACATAACTGCTATTTAGGGACACGCACACACACACACACACACGCACACCCCACAGTCAAGAAAGGTTGTGTTTCCAGGAACGTTGTGCTCACAGAGACAGAAAGACAAAAACAAAAGACAAAACAAAAAGAGTGTGAATTCAGAGGAGGAAGAAATGTAGGCTGTTGAGGAGTTTAATTATACAGTACACACGGATCAAATGGTTGATCGTCCAAGTCTAGAGCCAGCAACGGAGAATTTGCCTTTTTGAAATTTAAATTCATGACAGAATGAAGAGAAAAACAAAAAACAAAGAAGAAAATTTTAACAATAACAAATACTGAGCTTGGTTTTAACCAGTGTTTATGAAAGAAAGCTGTCTGAATGGGCCAGAACAGCTCAGAGTTTGGCAGCTCATTAACAGATTCCTGTGTGAATGCAGAGAATAGAGCAATTACCACGGGACTGTAAAAAAAAAGGGAGACTGAACCCAGAAATCAGGTCAGGATGAATGCTGCTATAGTCAACAGGTTGACACCAGACAAATGCTGCAGGCTTCTAGAATGTTCTGCCGCTCGGAAATAGTTGTTGTATGTGAGGAGTCGGGTGTGAAGGAGACAAACCGGTTCAAAGAAAAAAACAATAAGGTCAAAATCAGCTGGGCTTTAATACGTACACTTAAAACTTAGTTTATAGCTGTTCATCAGTGCATCTGGTGACACACTGTGTCCTGAGTCATTTACAAACTATTTCCCTTAATAGCTGGTGACAGTGTTTTTACGTGAAGTATCAAAAACCATGACTCAGTTTTATGGCTACACCACTGCCCTGATACATTCTCATGTTCACGTACACGTACGCTGCGTGTTTCTCCTCTGAGCTGCTCTACTGTAGCTTTTCAGAGGGAGGCGGTAGAGTGAGTGTTGTTGTGTGAATTACCAACCTGCAGACGGCAGTAGAGTGAGTGTTGCGTGAATTACCAACCTGCAGTTGGTTAGTCTCTTCCTGGGTGTGGCTGTTAATCAGTAGGTAGAGAGTCTGTTTCCAACCTGATGGTTGGGTACCATTCTTATGTCTACATACAGCCCCGACTACAGTAGTCAGATCGACAAAGCTGATGTGTCCACTGCACTGAAACCATGAACAAATTAGTTAATTTGACGACTCTCACGTTATATGTCCGTATATTGCAACTTTTGTTTTTGAAAGTAAAGAAAACCTTGTCCGTGACTGACTCCCCTTGTTTTCTGTGTCTTCAGTGAGTCCCAATGATGACGAAGACCAGCAGGAAAAGACTCTGTCACAGGTCTATGATTGCCTTCCAGAGGGACAGTCCCCTCTGGACATCCTAAAGAGGAGAGAAGAGAGAAGCCGACTCGGTAAGAGTGCCCCCAAACTGACCACTAGGAGAAAATTTAAAGAACAAACTACGGACCGTCTCTATTTCTTTTTATCCTTGAATTGTTTTTATTTCTCAAACGATGCCTTTTTTTTTAGGTAAAGCGCACATCCGACGGGCCATCCTGGGTCATGAAGAGGCTCTAAGGATTTATAGTCTGTGCCACCACCTGAACAAGCTGGAGATCCTGGAGGACATTTTAAAAGCCAGTCACCAGCGCTCACTCAACAAGTCCAGCGAAAACGAAAACGAGGATGAATTCACTGATTACATCGAGGCGCCCGACATCATCCGTAAGTCTGTAGTTTTATTAGAGAGCAGCACTGCAGCCGTGAAATGTGTTTGAGGGTTGGAGGTTTTTTATCGCCAGACCATGTATGAAAAACATGAAATGTTATGAAATTTAATGTAATGTATAGCATGAATAGTATAGTCATATTGTACAGAAAGCACAGGAATATTTAAAATAAGATGAAGTTGAAGTAAACACACAACAATTATGATTTTTAGTTTAGTTTATGTGAAAGGTCTAAAGTGTCACTTTCACAGGGATTCTTTTCTGTGGTTGGCTTAGAAACTGACCGGTAACCAAGGTGTCGCCACAACAAACCTTTGATAAGTGGCTGTCATGATAAACATGGGCCGCAAACCGTGTTGTTGTGTGAAGTCCTTCATTCAGGAAACAGTTTGTTAAAGTGCTGCTCTGTACCTGCTGCAATCATCCATGTGATTAGTGACATGCCAATCTGTCTGCGATGATGTAATGTTTACACTCCCGCCTCTTCACAGGGTGACAGTAATAATGTGGTTGTGACAGCAAACAGTGCAGAATGACATCTTTGTTTTCTCCTCACACTCTTTTAGCTAAGACAGAGCACAAAGCTGAGATGGCGGTGCCTGCAACCACAAAGGTGAAAGTCAGCGACTTTTTCCAGAGGCTGGTATGTGGGTTACTAATCTTCTGCACTTACATCACTTAAGTTTCCACAGGTTGTTGGTTTTTTCAGAACATGGCAAAAAAATAAAAGATTGGATTTCAGTTTGGGACAGTTTTACACCCCCTGAGATCCAGGCAGTGTTTTTGTCATTTCTGAACACCACCAACCGATGAGTGAGACTCCTGAAGGCTTTGGAACATCAAGTTCCCTGGTTTCCAAGGTCTTCTGGACTCTGAATCACCAAAATAAAATGCAAAACTAACACTAACCATGGAAACGGATGCTTTGGGTAGCTGTATTTAAATCAGGAGTCTCCAACTCAAAGAACTGCGGGCCACCATCAGATTACGATTGTGTTGACATCTAGATTTTGGGATATGATTTTTTTTTTCTGATGGTGAAAGCTTTGTTAACAATGGCTTCTTTATTTCTACTTTTGCATTTAGAATTTTTTTTTTAATCAAAATGTAAAATTTGATTTGGCCTGGGAGTTAAGTTTCAAAATAGATCATTGAGGAGAAGGTTTCCATAAAGGAGCTTCAAAAGTAAGAAACATAATTTTAAAAGTAAGACATATTTTCAGAAGCAGCAAAATGAAGTCTGCTCTGTTTCTTATTTAAAGCTAAACTAAAACTTCATGACATGAGTAAAATCAGCAGTGTGTTTGTGAGCAGCAACAGGTCATTGGAAAAGATGGTGGTTTACCAGTGACGTTTCTTCATTTAAATCAATACATGAAGTCACATTTAAAGTGTTATAGGGTTCAGGGTTATTTTGAGTTTATTATTAAAATGAATTGAATTATTGCAGTGCTGGTGGTGGTTGGGTGGGGTCGATAGTTTTCCCTGGCTGAAGTCTTTGTTCTCTTTCACTAAAAGAAAAACATTCAGTGGCCAAGTTTGGATTCTTATCATCCAGCACAACAATGCTAGATGTTATAACTGCAGGAGGGGTGGGGGGGGCGGGGGGGTCATGTGTCATGGACAACACCTCGTGAGGAATTTGTGAATGAATTCCTATGTGGCTCCTGTTTAAAAAAAAAATCCACCCAGCTCTGTATGAAAACCCAAGTAATCCGAGACATCCTCTGAGTTTGAGCTTCTCTGGCGATAATTAAAAAGGAAGGGATGACATGCCACAGCTGGCTGTTGTACAGAATCGATTCTCAGAATTTAATGAGGACGAGATTATCCCGGCTGATAGGAAGGCTAATAAGGGAGCCAATGGGAAAGTAGAACAGGCCAGTGTCCAGGAAAGGAATAATTGGTTGGTATAATTTACCAGGAATAAATACTGTAGGATTAGGGATTTCATGCTGTTAGAAGTAGAAATACCAGTTTTAGGGGAAACAGAACTAAGACAGGGACAGGATTTTATTTAACATGATAGTATAATACTAATGTGATTGTTACTGGCTTACAGTAAGTGTTAGAATGTATTTGGTTCTCCAGTTTCTACATCAAACAAAATACATATTTGAGTACACTGACTTTGGGGAAAGATATCATTTCCTGGTACTGTAGCCCAGAATTCTGTGTATGCAGTAAAGTAAAACCAGGTGATGAAGAGACCAGCACATATAGAGAACACCGAGGGAGTTTTGCTTTTTCAAAACCATCCAGTGACAGCTCCTGCCTGTGTGCAGTAACACCAACTAACCCACAGATGTACCTGCATATATCTGTAGTCAGAGTTCACACAGTATAAAGACTGAGAAGTTCCCTTACAGGAAATGGTGCCATGAGCTTAAACAAAACAGTGCTGGCTTTAACCACAAAGTCTCTCCACTCAGGGGCCCTTGTCATTCTTTAACGCCAAGCAGCGGTGGACAGCCCCACGGATCATCACACTCCGTCCTGAAGACAGAGACCACGGTTTTACCCTCAAAGGAGAGTCACCAGTCCAGGTGGTGTCTCTGGACCCCCTCTGCCCAGCTGCTGTGAGTCCACCCCCACGTTGAAGTCTTTAAAGTGACAGTGTGTTTGTGTGTGTAATATATGTATATATATATATATATGTATATATGTATATGTATATATATGTATATATATATGTATACATATATATATATGTATATATGTATATATGTATGTGTATATAAAACTATATAGAGAGAGTATATATGTAAATGTGTACATATACAAGTATATATATTAACATATTTATTATTATATTATTGTTATATTTTTGTAACTTGGTCCTAATGTAACTAACATCATTTATTTCAATTAATCATAAAGCACAACAAATACATGAGTAATTTTTTTCTTTTTTTAAAGAAAAACTGATTCTAGAAAACAGAGCAGAAATCTCACTCTTTGTCAACCACCAAAGGTTCCATAGTACTTATGAACTCACAAGATGACATGAAAGGTTCCATAGTAATTATGAACTCTCTGCCTCATGCTGCTGAGGATTGGAGTACTTACGCAGTACTTTACTCAGTACTCAGCCTCGGACAGTGTTTTGTGTTCTCCGTCTCTTCATCCACTCTGGATACTAATTTGATTAAGAGTCTGAGGGTATTTACTTTCAACAATCCTGTTAGCCCGACGGCTCATTAGTAGCTGCTGGCAGTGAACAGACTCTTACTCCACCACGCAGGCTCTGTATGAGCCTAACTAGGTCAGATGTTTGATAACATTTAATTCTGCTCCAGGGAGGATTTATTTTACAACCGAATACTTTCTTTGTTGATCCTTTTATTGTGGGAAAGATAAAGTTATTGGAAAGAAACGGCTGAGAACAAGAAGATAAGATCAATTTCATGGTCCTTTAAAAAAAAAAAGAAAAGACAAAAAAGGGAATAACACACCTCCTTTCCTCCTTCTGTCATTTTCAGGCCGAGGGACTAAAAGAGGGAGACTTCATTATTACTGTCGGTGACACAGACTGCAAGTGGTTTACTGTGAGTGAGGTGATGCGGTTGCTGAAGGACGTGGATGAAGAAATGATCGATATACAGGTTGTCAGCATGATGGAGAGCAACCCTCAGATGGTACGCCGACAGTTGCTTCCCTCCCCACCCCCCCACTCATCCAGAGATGATAGAAAGAAAATATAGTTCTGACAACTGACAAACAGGAGAGACCGACTCGTCTCGGTTTAGGATTTCTCCTTTGAGTCTTATCTGTACATGGAAATAGAACATATGGTTTCCCTTGAGAACTCGCTGCTTGAATGTGACCTACATAACAAAATAAACCCAAGGCTCATTTCAGTGCACGTTCTATTGTTGAATTAGAGGAACTCTCACAGTACCAGTATAGTCAGAATTTGTGTTACAACAGCCTCAGGTAGAATTCCCATGTGGTCACATGTCAGGGTTTGTAATAAATCCGCAGGAATGGGTTTTGAAGATGACTTATTAAATACCTCCACCACTGACATGTTTACACCTACACCTACAGTTAAACTCCACATAAAACTCATGGGATTTTTTTCAGGGGTCTGGGGGCTCATTTGTTGATTCATTTTCAGTCAATAAGACAAAATAATTTATATATTACATAATTATTTCTCTAAAAAAACAAAGATAAAGTTAGATTCATACCATTTGCAAAGCTTAAAAAATTAACAGGATTACAGTTAAGTTGTTGTTTTTTTTAAAAAACATCTATATAAAGATAACTCTTGTTTGGTTGAACAGCCGTCCCTGAGTCATAATTTTATACTTACTGTGTAAACTAGGATAAAAACTACCAGTAACAAGAACTGCTATTGTCTACCTTTCTCTCTCCAGCCCACCAAGAGCGCCACCTTCTGCGGAAACATACCCAAGACCTACTCAATGATTTGCTTGGCTTATGACGATGAAGACAAGAACGCCAAGTCTCGCAAAGTCACCAAGAAGTCATCCTTTCTAAGTTGGGGTCTGAAGAACAAACTGAAGAGTGCCAGCACCCTGAGCCTTCCTACGTCGGACCACTCCAACAGCCAACCCTGGAACAAACCCTGCCCCACCTTCCCCAGCTCCAGCTCCTACAACAACGACAGTTCTTTGTACTGAACTGTGGCCACAGACTCTGTACTGTCCGCGGCGTTGTTGAGTTCTGCTCACGGAGCCTCAGTGAAGTACTGTGCTGTAGCCAAACTGGAGCTGCTGTGGTACACGGTCGGTGCCTGGTGGTGCTCCCACCCGTGTACCGAGCGGCAGAGTGAATAGGTTTTTATGTGACAGTGTCACGTGACCGCCGGATGGTTCCAAAGTTACTGTAAACAGTACAGGTGCATACGTTAGCACACATGTTAGCTCTTCCAGCTAAGTCCTGTGTCTGAGCTAAACTTGACTTTCTGAACCAGGCGTGTTGTGTCCCAGCCCAGTCTGTGTACAGCACAGTATGATTTTATCATGAAAACAAACAACATTCCAGGCTGCAGTTGAACAGAGTGTGGCACTTAGATTTCTAAGTTAAACTCTCATCTCAAAAAAAAAAAAAAAATATGAATTGAAGGACCAAAAATGAAAATTCAGCACAGCTATCGTCACTTTAAACTGCTGGATGTGCTGATGTAGCTGTGCACTGTGTAGTTATAGGCCTGTGTGTATCCTGATTTATGTTTCATACTGTACGCGCCATAGATTTGTTGCAGTCGGTGGCTCTGTTGTTGGGATTGAAGTACTAGATATTAGATATTGCCCATTTTGCCGTACTTTTGACAATGATTGAGGGAAGAATATATATTTTGTCCACGTGTCTTTTGATTCTTTTTAAATGCAACGTCCTATAAGCAGCTCTCTTTCTTTTTTTTTTACTTGTGATACAACCTTTCAGGATTGTTGTTTCTTTTGTTACAATGTTATTGTAAACCTTGGTATTTTAGATTGCTCAACAGACCAGTTGTGGCACAAAGGAACACGACTCCATGACCCTGTTCAGTTTGTAAAACTAATCCTCACTTATCCTAACATCGTTTGGCCCCGCTGGCAGTTTGTCTGTTCATGAGAAGAGCAGCATGACTAGCATGAATGCTAATGTGAATCTAACGTGCAGTACGTACGGTCGTTTTAACGTTTTAACTACAGAAGGGAAGAATGAAAAATGATCATAATGATGTTTTTCTTCATCGTCTTGTCGTTCAGCAGTGACTTTGATGAAAGTCAGTTTTCTTCTCCCCTGATTTCACTACATTCTTAATACATCCAGCATTCAAAACTGACACTTTGAAGTGTTGGACAACTGTTTATCTACAAAGTAGATTTTTTATTCACATTTGATAATCAAATTATTTATGTAAATAAAAAAAATCACATAAATATATATATATAAATGTATTTACATTCAAGTTGTAGGTGTCAAGAAGTAGTTTATAAATGGTCAGTTTGTGAAAGTTTGCACGTAAGGATGTTGTTTCTTTGGAATGTATTTTAACCTTGAACTTCTGTTCTGATACAATGTGTCTTTGTCAAGATCTTTTATTTTTTATCATTTTAACAGTGACACTAAGGAGGCGCGACACTCCTTCCTTCCTCGTCTCTCTTTGCCCTGTGTTCTCTATCAAGTGCCAGTTACACTAAATTGTAAAGGAAAGTTTTGAGCAAAAAACATGTGCAGTTGTATCAGTACGTGCCAACTGAACGTGCCGACAGAAGCTGGCCAGATCAAGTACATTTTTACATGAAGTTCATAGTGTGTGTTGGTTCCTGAGGCCTCGTTGTACAGTTCCTCCCCGGGACATTGATACTTGTTTCATCCGGGGCTTAAGATGTGTATAATATTTGGCCTCTCATTCCCAAACTGCCCTCCGTGCTGTAAGATGACTGTGGTGAAAGTGCTTTGTGTCGTACGTGTAAAGTCCAATTGTCAATAAAACTGGGGAAAATCAGTTTCCAGGACATTCTTCATTTTTATTTAATACTTTGGCTGAAACTATTGTAAATCTCAGTGTTTTCAAAATAACATGCTAACGACCAGCTAATGCAAAATACCATTAAGAATGTTGACACTTTATGTTTTTACAATGCTTAAAACTAGTTTAACGTTTTAACAAAGTTATTAACGCTAATAAAACCTTCAATAATTGCATTAGTGGAACACTTAATAAGAATAAAAATATATTTATAGCTATAGAAACCAATGCCACAAATTGTATGTCTAAGGGGGGGAAAAAGTCAAGTGCAAAATATCGAAAAACTGTAATGAGCCGTATGTGTGTGTGTGTGTGCCAGAGCCTGAGACTACCTCTCAGTGAGGGAATGATTGGAATGAAGTTTGACCTCAGTCCTGAGAGAACCCACACTCACTAAAGTCAACACTCATGGACTTGTAACAGTTTAACTCTGTCAGACAGAAGAGGACTTTCTCACCATACAGTACCATTCACTGCATTCAGCAGTTACAGTACAGCACTGGGAGCGTTACTGTCTATCTGTCTGTGACACTTACTGTATCCAGGTTTACACAAAACCAAGGAATGTTGTTGGAATCATTGAGCTCTTTTGGAAGTAAAAGTGATTTTTTTTTTTATATACAACCTAAAAACGTAATAAAAACTCAAGATAACACACTTCCACTTTGTTGAATAAAGGATGGAAAAATCGATTAATTATTGTTTGATTCCCAATACACAGAAAAACATTAACCCGCAATCACGAAGGAGAAAACAAGAGGAAAACCATCGAGGTACAGTATATCGCAAATGACAGATGGATGAAATTGAATAACACTGCCACCTGTTGGCGGATTAGACTATTGTTGAGCAAGACGGTTGCTACGTGAACATGCTCTGTCACCGATTGGCTTAATCCCTCAATTTCAGCCAATCAGCGCTGTTTTTATTTTGATGTCTCTTTCAAGGCAAGCGTCCGGCTACGCCGAGTGTAAGCAGCCTGTTGAATGTGATTATTCGAGGAAAGGAGAGAATATTAACTGAAACGGACGTGACAGTAGAAAATAAAAGTCAATAATGATTTAAGACGAAGGGGGAAACGAGGTGGAAACGTTTCACTGTGTTCGCGTTACATTTTAGTAAGAAGAAGTGAAGTCTCACAAAGCTATTAGCATCATGTTGAAGAAACTTCAGAGGGACAAGGACAAGGAGTTTGTAAGTTTACAGTTTTTAACGACACGAGTAGAACTTTTGTTCCGTTTGTATAAGACATTGACGCTACTTTTTCCTTCTGGGATTATTATGTCAGGCTTGGTAGCACTCTTAAGCTGTTAGCTTTTAAAGACAACGGTAACCAAAGTAACGTTGTACTTAATATGACTCTTTTTAAGGCTACACTAAGTCTAAATGGGCGCGAATGCCTTGTTGTTGTATTTCACACATCAATGTGGTTTTAGTCTTTACCAAAAACTTTTATGTCTGTGTGTGTCTGTGCGTCTGTGTGTTGTGTAGAAGCACATAGCCCACGGTTTGATCCCTGCAGCCTCCATTGCTCCAAAACCTGCAGTGCCTCGTACTCCACCCCCCCGCAGCCCTGACCCCTCACCCGAAAGGCCCAGGTATCATCACCCTTGACCTCCTACCATCCCTTTACTCTGTAGATTGTCTGTGAATAAAACCATGCATTTTTGCAATCCACACTGGACATTTATTCCTCAGTGCCTATAGGTTATTATTGTGTCTTTGTGATATAAAGTGTGTCAAATATCTTGTGAATTCTCACCTGCAGGTCAGTCTTAGCAGCAGCCATCCTGTCTTCATCTCTCACCGGTCAGACCTGGGCCATCCCTCCTGCCAGACCCAGATCTTTCTCTGAGACACCGAGATCAGACTCCTACCTATCGGAAACAAACCTCAGCACAGCATTTTTTAACAGGTAATTCTTAGTAGAATTGCAGTTGAAAAACTATAAAATAAATAATTGAAGAAAAAAAATGCCCAGTAGAAACAAAAAATACATTAATTTAATATGTAGATTTCCTACAAGAAATGGACATGCAGTTGAAAAACAATAAATAATTGAAGAAGAAAAAATTCATCAAAATTCATCCATTTGTTTGTTGTTTGTTCTTTTCTCTCACCACCAGGGACAGGTGGTCAGAAGATCTGGAGAGTCATCGTCACCTGTCCTCTGATGACCATTCAGATAAGGAGTTAGAAGCCAAAGGAAGTGAGGAAGATGAGGATAAAGAAGACGGAGAGGAGGAGCATGTTTACCAAACCCTGTACAGACGGGAATCAACCAAAGAACCTATTTATGCCCTGCCACCAAAACCTGTGGTGAGTGCTTCTGATATATTTTTTTAAGGTACTTCATTGGTACTGATTTGTTTCTCCATTTGACAGCTCTAGTCAAAATATTTTAATAAATATAATTATTTCAGCTTTCAGTCCTGTAAGGTTAATGACGTGAAGTTGTAATAAAACTAACATCCACTTGGTGGCACAGTTTTATTCAACATAAGTTGCCGTTCTTTTCTTGAGCTGTGGGCCATATAGATATTGTTGTTGCTGTTTGATTGTTGCAGCGTTTGAATCTGCAGAGCAAGTGTTAATGTAAAATATAAATAAAGATGATTATCCTATAACTTTATCTTAGATTCAGAGTTTCAGACTGATGTGTGGGAGAAACTAAATCTGCTCCCCCATCTCTAAACTAATACACATATTATTTAAAGTTGGTTGTAACCAATCAGATTTCATCTCCCTTTGTGAAAATCACCCATCTTTATCCTGTACTACAGCAATTTAATACATTTGAAATGTGGTTTGTAAAGTTTTAGAAGTTTGGTGACTTTGTGAGAGACTTGTTTCTGATACCATCCAGTTTGTGACAATTAATTCCCTAAAACTCTGTGAGCTGCCGTCAAGGCTGCCTCTGTAATTGTGATTAATGAGACTTACTGACTGTGCACAAACAACGTGTACTTTTTACCAGCTGCTTCATTTTCTCAAAATTGTTTGCTGCTGCTGCTCAGGGTGAAGTATTTCCCAATTGTCTACACCACACAGGTACTATCTCCTAGTTAGACCTCTGCCCAGCATCATTATACTGTCAGGGTTCGTGCAGGTGATTGAAGTCCTCGAGAATGCTTGAATTTCCTTGTTGTGTTTTCAAGGATTAAAACGTGCTTGTAAATGTCTGGGATTTTAAACATATTTCCCAGTAGTCTGATTCAACAGTCTCTACTTATTAAATTGAAAGACATAAAACAACATGACAACAAAATCCATACAACGTTTGCTTCACCATGTTTCTGTCAATGTTGACCAGTTTTGGTTGAAAAATAAGTGGAAATTTTCAGAGTGGGTGTGGATTTGTGTCATATTTTGCAATTTATGTGCAATTTAGGTTCATGATATCCTTGTGGATATTCTCAGTCATCCGGGTCATCATAATAATCTCAAAAGCAGTTTTAAAGCAGGCAACTGGACTGTAGTACTGAACTGTAGAGTACAATAGAACTGATGAAGCCTCTGGGATGAGAGGCCAAACGTCTTCAACTTCCTCGAGGTGAGTCCAGTTTTTCCACTTTAAAACTGCTTTTGAGATTATTAAGTTCATGATAACACTTGAAAACGCTCTCTAGAAAAATGGACTTGAAATTCATCTTTGAGAAAAAATGTACAAACACTGACTGTGTATCTCACAGAGTGCAATTCTGCCTCTGTGTGGTCCTGTCTACTTTGGCTCACTGACCTCTAATGACCCCGTGGAGGAGAGTTGTCCCTCTGATACAGTGAATGCTGATAAATGGCACGTGTACTCTGTTCTAAGTCACGAGTGGAGTCATCATGAGACACATGACACCTCTTGAGTCTCACTTGTTTCATAACACGTGAGTAGTACCCCCCCCCAAAAAAAAAAACCCAAAACAACAACAAATGTACAAACTAAACCATTAGAATTGTTGCAGGATTGGATTCTGCTGTGTAATCTAAGAACTGGCAGTGCTGGGATAAAAATAAAAAGGCAGAAGAACGATCAGGTTTTACCATGCTAAATGTACAGACAGGCCCATTTATCAGAGGATGTGTTTATTGTTCAGGATGAGGATGTGAGTGGGTGTGTGAAAATCCCCTTTTGCTCAGCTGATATACGTCTTCCAAGTATTCCTTCTAATCACACTTTGAGTTATTGCCTCGGGATGTAAGACTTACAATAATGGCATGAAGCACCAGCTACTGTATGTGCTGGCAGAAAAATGTCCTCTATAGGTATGAATTCATTCGACTAATTTTCTCTCGCTCTGTGTGTCTCCGTAAGCATCCCCTCTTCACACTGGACTCCTCTGTCGTGACTCACTCACTACGCTTGAGTGCGCGAGCAATTACAGAAGTTAATATTGTCCACACTTCAAAAGGATTATAAATGCAGCGGTCTCTGTAATAGTCCGACACAAAAGAGGAGCGTCGAAATCAGGCGGAAAAGATTAGTTTACTCTCCGTCATCTAACCATTTCCTCTGTCTGTTTGTCTGTGACACTCTGTCTGTGACACTCTGTCTGTATCTGTTTATGTCTGTCTTTTTGACGGTTTGTGTCTGCTCTATAGAACACAACATTCCAGCCAACTCAGAGTCCTGTCAGAAGAATGCCTGACCCAGGTACGGACCTAAAAAAATAAAATAAAAATAATATATGTATATATGTGTATACATATATATATATTCGTATGTAAGTCGTGTATATATATCAGATATAAGTAAAATGCAATTTTTTACAGTTAACATTCTAACAATTAGTAAATACTTGTTTTTAAATGCACAGATATGTTTCCAGGAAAAAATGTTCACCATTTTCTTAATTTGGACCCGACACACACCTGTGCTTTTTGCGTCTGCTGTGCCGTTAAACATCATTACAGTTAAAAAAAAAAAAAAAAAGGTCTGCAGACCGTAAAGGTCCCTTTTGAAGTACTCTTATTGTCGGCAATAAAAATCCCTCAAATGGAAACTTCAAGGTGTGCGGATTTTCCCTTCTCTGTAACTGCCACTGCGTTCTTATCGCACAGATTTCACTGAGGAAACCAGTGACCAGTCTCCTGAAGCCAGCACTTCTAGGAAGAAAGTCAGGAAAATCTCCAGCCGCCGGAAACAAGACGTACCATGTGGTTCAGGTTCTGAAGCTGCCAAATATTAAATTGTCTTATTGGATAAATTTGATAAATTAATTTTACCCACAAGCTGCTGTATGTTAATGAAACGCCACGCGTTTTGGGAAATCAAAGAAAAAAAAAAGTCTCAGTTGATAAAATGTTAATCACGTTAATTAAAAATTGAAATTCATTAAATTTTAAATTGAAGAAGTTTAAGCTTAAAATACGGCATGCGTTTATGCAGGGTTTAAATTCAGGTCAGACTCTGTGTTGAGTCAAGTAGGGTCAATTTTCTTAAAATAAAATTCATGTGAAAAGTCCCTCTCCAGCAGATCCAGACTCAGTATCGTCTGACACAGAGAAGGGAAAAGGTGTAAATGGGGGAGACAGCAGAGGGGAGGAAAGAAAGAGAGAGAGAGAGAGTAGGAGCAGATTTACAGCAAAATAATATATATAGAGAGAGTACAGTCAGACAAAGTGTTACAGTACAAAAAGTACAGTCGTAGGAAGAACTTGATCATTAGCGTTTGATGTAAAAGTCGTTTTTTTTTTTACGTCAGATTTTATTACAGTAACAAATATGAATAAGTGTCAGGTCTGGATCAGGAACCTCAGGCAAACGAGTGGAGAGAGAGGAAACACTGTCAGAAGACTAATTAAGGTGTATGAGCGGGGAGGTGTGGGGGGGGGCTGACATTTCTGCCTCCCATTTGACTCTTATACTCTGTGGGAACGTTAAGTAGGTCTGTGTTTTCAGAGCGAAGTGAACTGTTAGGTTGGTGGGGTCTGTTTAGATCCTCAATATACTGTATGTTGACGTGTTTCCACAGATGAAGCGTTCTGTAAATTAAATATTCTAATTTTTTATTTTTATCATTCGACAACCTTTCAGGGCAGGTTAAATTGTTTTTACCTCCATCCTGTTCAGAGTCAACCCTAACTTCCTGTGTGTTCTGTGTTTGATATTCCAGCTGCACAGGCTATCCTAACCACAGATGTCCGCAGCCCGGCCAAACACCAGACGGACTCCACCCAGACATCTTTAGACCCCAGAGGGGCTCACGGTGGAGTGCAGAGGGAGGAGCCGCAGGCCCTGCCAAAGAAAACTAAAATGTCAAATGAACAAAAGCCACTCAGGGAGAGATTGCACAGCCCAGAGCAGGAGATCAGTCAAAGCCAAACTTCTTCAACCCAGAGGTCTTTTGCAGGTGAGAGCGAAGGAAACCCTCTGAGACCAAAAAAAGGGGGAGAAGCTGACAGAGTGAAGAAAAGATTAAGAGAGGAGAGAGGATGAAAAGGAGGAGGAGGAGAGACGGAGAGGAAAGCGAGCCACAGCTGATAGGCTCACGTGCTGCGGTTGGTGGCAGGAGCTGGAGATGGTTCTGTCAGCAGATACAGCTCTGATCCTTTATCAACACAGAGCTTCCTGAGCATTAGAAGAAGAAGAAGAAGAAGAAGAAGTCTGTTTGTGTGGGGGGCGGGGGCTGAGGGGGGGATAGTGGGAATAGGAAAATCCAAAGAGTTGAGACGTTTTAAAAGGAGAAGGAAAACTGTCGGTACAGCAGGACGGCTAAGACCTGGACACAAGTGAGACCCCCTGTTGGTGAAAGCAGTATTAAATCGTGCTGTAGTTCAGCTGTCAATCATCAAAGCTAGGGCGCCCCCCCTGACCCTCACTCAGGCCATGGTCCAGTGAACCAGCAGACCACGTGTTCTTTCTCTCTCAGCCAGACTGTAATTGTCTTCAGGGTTTTTATAACTCATATTTACTCATATCCCTGATGAATAACACTGAGCTGAGAGTCCTTCAGCCTCAGGGCCCTCTTTCATTCACATTTGATTAAACATCGTAAGATTTTTTTCTTTGTATGCGCTTTGATTTCAATATCATGAAATAATTCCTTCACAACTTCCTTTTCTCCCATTGTGACTCCTGTGGTTCCAGGGAACCAGGCAGAGCTACAGAAGTTGAGGCAACAGGCTCAGGAGCTGGTGGGTGAAAACGACGTTCTCAAACTGACGGTTCACCGCCTGAATGTGGAGCTCAGCCGCTACCAAAGCCGCTTCAGACCGTTATCCAAACAGGAGGTATGACTTTGAAAGACTCATTATTGTCAGTGAGTTTTCTGTGGAGTCGCCTGAGACCACCTGGAATTGACTAACTGCAAAAAAGTAAATAAATAAATAAATTTAAAAAAAAACTCCAGCCTTGAGGCAATTTTACTACAGTGGTGGAATGTGATTGCATGGATTTCTGCACTTTTTTATTTTTATATATTTATGATTTAGTGTTTGGTTGAAACAGAACTTTAAAACGATGATGATAAAATGATACACATCATATAATATATATACATTTTTATATGTATATATATGTGTGTGTGTGTTTGTATACCGATAAATATTTATTTATAATCATAAACAAATATATAAATAAATATAAAAATACACCTACATATAAATATACATTTTATAACATGATAATAAACTGAAAATAGAAAGAAAAAACTAAATCAATTAAAAATAAAATACATTAATATAGCAAATATATAAAAATGAACAATAATTATTTTTGACTCCGGAGAATTTTGGGGTAGATGAGGTCGATTAACTGCAACACTTTGAATCACACCAGGAACCTTGACGCCTGTCAGTCATTCAGTCTGTGTCAAGTTTCCACTGTTAAATGAGTAAGTTTGACTCTGTTGTCCACACTCTGTCCTCTAGTCATACGTATTCAGCTGAATCTATCACCAAACATCAATGTATTTTCAATGCTTCACCACTAAAAAGAAAATGTAGCTATAGACTCAGCTATAGAATCCTGCCTTTGAACGTGACGCCTGCTGTGTGAAAACTGCCTGTTTCTCCATCTGATACATTGGTCCAAAAGAGTTTCTCAGTCCCTTGTTGTGGCTGCCCGTCCATTTCCTGTTGTTGTGTGTGTGTGTGCGCGTGTATGTGCGCCATGCTTCTGAAGACAGCCAGTCTGTGGCTTTATTAATGGCCACTGCATGCTGTGCCTTCACACCAGGAGCTCCACTGCTCACATCGTTATCAGGTGGCTTCATACGCTGCTGCACAGCCTCGTCGGCCTTATCACTATCATCTGAAATCTGACTGGTGAGGGGGGAAAGATGAAGAGGTGCAATTAGGTGTTAGTTTAGCTTTAAATTAGGAGGAGCACAGACAGTAGTGTGATTTGTTTTTGTTTTCCTCACCGACAGAACACAGGCAGGTAGAGCACTGTGGGGAAATTAGCTTAAACAGAGCTGCTGTCGTTCTCCTGCAGCTCAGCCATAACAATCTTTCACTATTATTCTTTGGTCAGTGCGGCTTTTCAGCTGGAGTCACTTTGAGGGCTCTCCTGTTGGACACTCTTAACGCTGCACCGCGCTGTCCGATCCGTCTTTATAATTAGAGCCATGTTCTTAGTGCCTGTCAGTTGTACCGATACTAAAAGAGAGAATATTTCCGTTGTCAGTCCAACATGTAGAAACAATGTTGTTCGATAGCTGTTTGGGCCAAACCGATATTATTGCACTGATGTGTAGTTTGTTAAAAAAGTCAAACTATCAGGAGTTTTTTAGTATTTTAAAAACAAGAAGGAAGACGGGAGCAAGAACTATTGTCAGATTTGTTCTGTTGCGATGTAGCATTAAAGAAATAAAACCTGCCTGAGGAGGCGCTGCAGTGCTGAATACAGTAATGTCTCTAATGTTTAACGACACAGATGAGGAACTTACAGTACATCTCTCTATGTCACTTTTTGTAGGGAATTATTATTATTTTGCTGTGAAAGCTCTGCTCACTTTCTGTTCATCTGCCTATGTTAAATATAAGTTAAAAAAAAGTTTTTCCCAGGCACTCCAGTTTTCTTGCAAAAAGACTCGTATATTTCATTCTGATGAATTCCCAATACTTCAAGCTGAGCTCTGTGTCATCTGCAATATATGTATGTATATATATATATATATATATATATATATATGATTTTATCGTGATGATGGAGCAGTGGGGACCCTGACGGTGGGTTCGCAGCTGCTGTTGAATAGTAATAATAATACAGTGATTTTCAGATACTGAGCTTATAAGGTTTATCATTTTACCGTAGACTGACTTTTTGAAGGCAATGTGAAGGCCAAATATTGCTATGATGGCTTCGTGTTTTGTGATGATAAAGAAGAATGAAGTGGTAAAAAAAAAATATCACTGAATATTGATGTAAATTCTGCCGCTTTCTGCTTTAGAGTTCCAAAATTGGTGGTTTACCGATGACAGAGTCTCCTCCTCCCTGGTTGGTGAGTATGCTTTTTATAAATAAATATATATATATTCCTAAACAACTGTCCTGTTCAGTCTAAACCAGTACTTCTCAAACAGTGGGGCGAGCCCCCCTGAGGGGCGTGTTGAGATACCAGGGGGGACCAATGGAAAATGGCACGGTGGACATCAGTGTACCACTGCTGTAATTCTTGAATAATAACAAGCCTCCGGTCACTAGGTGGCAGCAACTCATACAGTGGTTTTTACAGATAAAAATATATAATTCATAGGGGTTTGGGTCGTAGGGGGGAGGCGTAAAAAAAACATCTCTGTCCCCAAGGCGGGGGCATGAGAGAAAGTAATTGAGAACCACTGGTCTAAACAGTGGTGTTGTATAGTAATGGGATTGAATTTGCATGAAAAACTAAGCCTGATTTATGAGTCGAATTATAATCGTTGACTCAAATTGACTGGGTATTTGTGGGGTAGATATGAAAATAAATTACATTTTCACTTGTTATGTTTCCCAGAGACTGCGAGCGATGATGTGGAATGTGATTTCTTTTTTTTTCATTCTCTTTTTAAGCTTCATGTGGCAGAGATGAGTGATGGGATTTGATTTTCTTCCCAAATGTATGCCATGTCCTCTTTTTTTGTAGGTTGACATGAAGTATTTGTCTCCTCTGCTGCTGGCCTACGACGACAGGATAAACGAGAAGGATGCACTTCTGCAAACCACGGAGGTAAAGTGACCGTGACTGATTGTGTGCACTTATGTGAGTTCCTACTTATTACCCCCTCAATCATCTGTCACATTACACTGCACGAGAATGTTAAACGGGCTGTGTTATCAGAGATGTGCGCCGCCAACACTTTCGATCACCATTTAATGTGCGGCCTTTACAGTACACTGTATGTAAAACCCATGGGATCCCAACCTGCAGCGAGACTTTTGGAGGTGAAGCAGATGACACATTATAATTCTGCTGCTGCTGCTATCTTTCTTAAAGTTATTTTTAACCAATTTTGACTCACAGTCGAGGTCTGACAGGTGAGGAAAAACATGCAGATAAATAATAATAATAATAAAAAAGATATGTATATTTTTTGTTGTAGTAGTTTTTCTCATGAATAATGCATAAATGGAGGTAAAAGAACATCAACAGTGTTATTGTGGCTAAAACCTTTGTATTTACTATAGGGATGGCTCAGTAATGCGTGGCTAAAACCGTTGTATTTACTATAGGGATGGCTCAGTACAACATATTTAGATCTGACCCTGATACTGCAAGTTAAAGTATCTATCAATACCGATATCAATCTGATACCGTCTTTTCTCCTCCATCATGCCGTGGACTGCTGTTTGCTGAGGCGTTAGTGTCCCAGTTAATGGTTTATGAGGTGCAGAGTTAAGTTTAGCATTTGAGCTCGGGTATCGAATTGTACTACTATAGTTGTTGTTTCTGATGTTCAATCCTGAAGTTTTTACCCATATTGGTCCAATATCGATCCTGCATTGAGCCGTCCATAATTTACTATACTGTACTATACTACTATACATTACATACTATACCTTATATTCTATTCTATTCTATTCTATTCTATTCTATTCTGTTCTATTCTATTCTTAAAGAGCATCAAGTAGCTAGTGAGAAAACAGCACCGAGCTGTTGCCGCTGCCCCCTGGATGTCACCTGTGTGTGTGGCATCTCCGTTGCATAAAATAGGGGTGAAAATAAGAAATATGTAGTCGAAGAATTCTGCTTTGGTTTTATGCAGTCTGTCTGCACACTGTGTATTTTTTTTCTTGAACATTAAAGCTGCTGTCTCGCTTTCCCCAGGAAGAGGTGAAGAAGCTGCGTGTTCACGTGGAGGAGGTTGTCAAAGAAAACAAGAGGCTCTGTGATGAAATCACAAAGATTCAAGGCTCCAGCCCGACCGACTGGTAGGTGTGTGTGTGTGTGTGTGAGCACCCAGTTGACCTGTGCTTAGGAGTGTGCGATGTGTGTGTGTGTTTGGTGATTCTGTGCTCTCGGCACTCATTTCGCTCTAAATAATCATATTAATATCAACTGGGACTTTATATTGTGCCTTTCTTCAGGACGTTTTTTGTGTGGGAGGAATAAAATTATGTGTAAATGTTATTCTCTCAGCAGCTGAATTTAATTGGCTCTAATTCTGTAAAAAAAAATTACCTGCAAGCAGGGGAATTTGTCTATGGTTTCCCGTATACTGATATAACACATAAAAACTAATGTCTGTTCATTTTACCTGACATCCACTAAAACGCACGAGTTTTCTATCCATTCTAACCAGGGAGTTAGTTGGATTTTTTTTTTACAGTCTCCCAGAGGTTTTACTGACCTTAAATAAACTTTAAATTTACTGTTTTCTAAAGCTTCTGCATCAAAAGCACTTGTTTTTTTTTTAAGGAGCAGAATCAGATGTTTTCTATGGACTCATTTGAACCCAAGTCAGTACGAATGCAAAACCACAGAAAAACACCTCGGCTGCTGCCAATTCGAACAGAGTCGTACATTTTTTATGTTTAATGCTCCCAGTTCTATGAAAGAAAATAAAGCAGTAGTGGGAATATTAACTCCCTCATTCCTCTTCTTGCTCTCTCTCTGCAGTCATCAAATACAGCAACAGGCCTTTTTAGTTTTGCAGGAGAACCAGGTTTTGATTGAGAAACTGGAAGCTAAGCAGGATGAAGCCAAGGCCAGTCTCAGCAGACACCAATCTGAAGGTACGCTCACCTGAGCAGAGGTTAAATTCATGTACAAAACAGAAGTGATGATTGGTAAAAATCCTCCCGGTCCTAGACATTTTTGTTATTGATTCTGTTCGTTGCATTTAATGGTTGCCAACCCTTCCCTCCACCTTTGCAGTTTCCAAGGTGTCTAAGCAGCTAATGTTGCTTGAGGCAGAAAACCAAGGTTTGAATAAGGAGCTGGAGGGAAGCAGAACAGAAGTAGAGAAAATCACCCGGCAGCTCCAAGTACTGCAGGCTCGCCTTCAAGATGCTGTCAGCTTTGATGAGCATTGCAACATTACTGGAAAACTCAGAGGGTAACGTATATAAATATAAGTACCAGTGACAGTTGTGGTGGAGCAATGCACTGCACTCAATCATTCTGTGAACAGTAACAAGTAAAACACATCGCTGATGCACTTTTTTTAAAGTTTTATTTCAAATAAAAATGGCTTTTTACCTGCAATACATTTGACAATATAGTTTCCACCTCATACTGTCACTGAAAGTTTTTGTTTTTTTAAATTAACTGAGACAAATCACAGAACAAGCATGAAAAGTTGTCTCTTAAACATAGTTGGCTAAGGCAGTTCTCAAATCGTGGGTCGAGGCCCACTGGTGGGCACGGTGAGGTGCCGGGGGGCCCTGAGGGGCTTCCAATGTAATATGGCACATGTGTACCACTGCTGTAATGCTTGAACGATAACAAGCCTCCAGTCACTAGGTGGCAGCAACTCATACAGTGGTATTTTCTGCTCAGTATTGTCTGGCAGGACAGAAATTAAATTGAGAACCACTGGGCCAAGCCAACAATTTATTTTTGTGACTTTACTGACATAATTAAATAAGTCTGACTTTAAGTCTGATTAAGTGAAAATACGAAAGAGGAGAAAACACTGCAGTGAGAATAAAGTTCCAGTACCAATGTTGCTGTTGCCGAAAATAGGTTTGGTCTCAGTCGTCCAGGTCATTTACTCTTCACAAGGTCAGGAGTCGGAGACTAGACTGGCTAAGGTTTCCTGGCGATGTTTCGTCCTTCATCCAAGAGACTTTCCAGAAAAAAAAACTGAACTAGTTTAGTTTGTGAAGTCTCAGGGAATATTAGAAATCCAACCACCAGAAAAGGAAATATATGAGAAATAGTTCTATTTTTCAGAAAAGTATTTGGAAATATATGAGAAATAGTTCTATTTTTATATTAGTACTTCACAGTAAATCAGGCTCTGACCAGTGTTTCCACCTGTGTGGTTTTAATGATGACATTTGTGTCTCTGTACTGTAGCATTTACAAATGGCAACAGCTGTTTAAAGACATAGGGGAAAAGACGCAAAGGATTATGGGAGGGGTAGGATAAGTGTTATGGTCATTGAGGGAAAGCTGGGGTTGTAACTGGTGTGATTAAAATTTTGTCACAATGTTGTTAAGGTCTGTGGGCACCTCTTATTTCTAACCTTTTACTAGGACTAATTTGTGGTGCAGAAAAATGCATATCACTAAAATCTCCCATCATGCTCTTGAAAGTCACTCGCTGAGTCACAGCTGGGCTCAGTATGTTTTATATATATATATATAAAGTGTTAAAAATTCAAAAGTCGTCACATCGAGCTGAAGTTGCACTCCTCCATCTGGAGTGGAGACGTTTAGACACCGTGTTGTACGTCTAACCTGATGCAACGACAGTCGTGTTTTTGTCAGGAATAACTAAGGTGCCAGGTGGCATCTCTGCATATGGTTTGACATCCAGGCAGCTGGAGCAACTGGAGAGCAGTTACAAGAGCGAGACGGACAAGCTGCTGCTCCAGGTGTCTCGTCTCCAGGACGTGAACAGGAAGCTGGCCGTGGACAAGGCCAACCTGAGTGCAGACGTGGAGAAACGGGAAGCTGATCTTGAGCTCAGTAGGCAAGAAAACAGGTATGAAATATTCATTTTCAGTTTATGTCTGCCTTCATCTCACAAACCAATGATGACGGATGTCACTGAGGTGATCGATTTTTTTTTTTTTTTATCTTCGGGGAAATAAGTTCGGTCTCTGAAGGTGTCAAACAGGCACTTTTTTTAGTTGTTTGGAGCATCATTTTATTTAATTATATCATCAAAAACTGCTTGACACAAAAAACCCTGTTTGTGTGTGTGGTTATACAGCATGTGTGTGTGAGGTTATTCTTGCTACAGTTGTGGGGAGTGTTGTTGCTATTTATATGTCTTTTCGTGTCCTTTCGGGGACTTGTTGCAGGTCGTCACTGAATATTTTTATTGGCGTAGTCCACATAGGGGATGGCCTTGGGCACCATCTGCTGGAGGGGGGGGTGTTGTTGCTATTTATATATAAATTCCTATACTGTTATATATTTATCAAATTACAGTTAGGATCAGGATTGTGACTAGATATAGATTTATTGTATATATCTATCATACTACAAACCTACTACAAACTGTATATGTATATATGTTATATTCATATATATATATATATATATACTGTGTGTGTATATATATTTGTTCCACATTTTGAGCGACCTTCATCCCATCATGTGTGCATGTGTGAGAAAGTTGATGGAGGATTATTCCATTGATTTTTGAACCTTTAGGATTAAGATGTGGAAGGTGGAGGGTGGGGGGTTTACTGTGAGCCTGACGTCATAGTGGGGTACTGATGCATCATTTAACCACGTTGACCGACCTGTTCTCAACAGCCATAAAATATCTTCAGCTCAATGACGCACATTCTCAGTGTTTTCCTGTTGTTGTCTGTCTGTAGAACACACTGTAAAACCCATTTAATTACGTTGTTAAATGCAGGAAAAAAAGTAATTGTTTTTTTTATTTTTAATGAGCATTCACACATTGTCCACCCACAGGCTCTGTGACAGCACAGAGACTCCAGTTGATTGACACCTGCTGCTTACTGCCTTATTAACAGTTGTTGTTGTACCTTAAGCCAATCCAACTTGGCCAATCTTTGAAAACAAAGACTCAGCAACACTCGTGTTCACCCATCTCTTCAATATTATCTTCCCTCTCAAACAAACAGCTGGATTCTCCCAGCAGAGAACTCACACTCACAAAGGTAGAATCACTGGATAAACATGCTGTAGATCACTCATTAAACTGGTACTTAATATATTTTTTTTCGTATTGTTAGCAGTGGCTATCTGATGCCATGCCTTTATTAAGCTGAAGTGAAAGTCTAGTGTGTATTTTTTAAAAATCAGCTCAGGTCTGAGGAGCCGTCCTCTGCTCTCCACAGTCTCTACGAGCTGAGATTGATGTGGACTTTCTTATTCTGAAGTGTGAACATTTCCAGAAGGTGTTGGATTAGCCAGACGTGTTTTGATTTTTTTCTGGATCAGTAGGAAACTCTCTCTGTCCTATCGTCTCTTGACTTCCTCATTCTACCATCATGTTTGTTGTTTACATGAGCTCCGTTGTTTACTTGGCATAAAAACTTTTTTGTTTCCTTCCCCAGCCTGATGGGTTTTTTTCTGTTTCTCTCTCTCTAGTTCTCTTTCCATTTCCCTTCACTCATGGCCATTTCCTCCACTGTTTTTCTGTTTTCAAGGAGGGCTGAGAGGCAGATGGACGTATTAAAGCAAGAGAAAGAAGCGTGTGTGTTAAAGAGCGAGGAGGTTCGACAGTACTTGGGAGCAGTCATTACTGTGGCCGAGCACATTTTCAGGGAGCGAGACCGATTACTAAGCACGGTATGTACTGACACACCAGACACACGTACTGCAGTACTGACACACCAGATACAGTACTGACACACCAGACACGTACTGCAGTACTGACACACCAGATATCACGTACTGCAGTATATGAAGATAGTGTCCAAATCTTGTTTGTAAAACTGTAACTAATTCCATATATTGAAATATTACTATGCACACATACATATATATGTGTGTGTGTCAATATATTTGTGTATATAGATACAGTATATACATACAGACATACTGTATACATACATATACATACATATACATACACATATGTTTACATATATATTTACATAAATATATATACATAAACACATATATATATACATATATATTTACATATACGTATGTATATATATATATGTATATCTCTGGATCCCAAATTCCCTCCATTTCTATCTCGTCCTTTCCTTCACTCTCTCCCCCCTTTCTTTCTGTCTCTCTATATATTTTTTCTCCTGTCCTACTTTACTTTGTGTCTCCAGCACCCAAAAATCCACCTGGTGTTGAAATTACTTTTTGAGGTTGAGCTATAAAATTTGGATTCATTCAGATTTAATACATATGTTTACTAAGGAGTTGAACAACAGGTCAAGTCAATATATCGGGCGTCAGGCAGAACCGCGTTAGTCTTACAGAGCCCGTGTCTCAGACGGTGCCAGCACTGAACTTTATGAGATTTTGCAGAGAATGTCTGTCAGGCATTAATGAGCTGCTGCCTCAGAAACGTAAACTTGGAGTGCAAGTGCACATGGAATAATAATAATATGCGTGTTGGTAACTCTGGGTTGTCAGTAGCGGGGGTGTAGAAAATAAACATGTTGCCCAAATTGTGCCACCGAGAGTTCAGAAGACTGTGGCTTCACCGAAGACAAAGATGAGGTTTATTTTATCTTAATAAAAGCAATAGGACTGTAAAAAGAACCATCACATAATGTTTGTATTCTGTAAAGTTTGATGGTTTGTTTGTTTTTTTTGCCTCGTACATGGAGGACAAGTATTATGTGAGAAAACATTTTATGAAAGGTGTGTTTATTTTTGTTTGTATTGATTTTTGCACCTTGCTGCACCTTTTCATCAAGAAACATGTTCACACAAGGTTTTTTTTTTTCGTTTTAACGGAAATAACATCTCACGTAACAACTTCTTTCTCTCTCTTCCACTGAGAAATGTTTTTGTGAATGTATAAAAAAACATTAATTTGAGGTGAGAGACTCATCTTACACTTTAAATTGCTCTTTTGCAGAGTCATCGAGTGCATTCATTTAGTTTCAGCCATCATATACAGCTCTTCTCTTTTTTAAACAAAAAGTTGGATATTTTTCCTCAACAAACTCTGTAACAGTAAACTGTGAAAATGTCTTAGTTGGCTTAAAGTCTGGCAGAGAAACGGAGGCAGTTGAACCAGTAAATGTTAATAGATGCAGAGATTTTACTTCGCAAAGGCAGAAAAAATAAATGTGCGGCAGATCATTCTGACCCCGTGTAAGAGGTCATTGGAAAGGGCTAATGTGGACAGGGCTGTTTGAACGAGAACATTTTTCTAGCAGTTATGAAGGTAATGTGGCTGTGTCTGTGGGGTTGTGGTTAAATTTCCAACAGCACCAGCTGCTGAGGTCACACTTTTGCTCAGACTGTGGTACCAATTTTAAACCACTAACCTTTTTAAGAACATCAGTACAGGTGTTTATTTAAAAAAAAATCTTTTAAATCAGTTTTCTTTCCTCTGTTTTCAATGGGTGTAGCATTGAGTAGAAGAGTTTGTAACAGACATAGTAGTTTGGAGTCATTCACTGACACCGCTGAGTTTTTAATGACGCTGAACTGCTACGGTCCTTTTTTTAAAATAATCTTGGACCACAAAGGGACCTCTACCTTCATTTTTGAAGTATGAGAATTGCTAGTTGTTTTGTAATTATTATATATTGTTGTTGCTGTACTAGAACCAATTACTATATTTCATAAAATAAATAAAGTTGCACCATATACAGGCTGCACGCCGTCATTTAGTTTTAAAGGATGTTTTGAATCGTCTACGTTACTATATAGTACAGTGTATATACTGTGTACTTTGACGAGGAAGTAATTAACTGAAGAACTCTCTTTACAAAAACAACCTTTGTAAGAAAACTGTATGGTTTTCCTTGTTATTGTCCATATACTGATACAAACTGTCAGCTATTCTATACAAACACACCTGAGTCCTGCAACAATGGCAGAGTATAAATCCACATATATGGATGTTTTATGTTCAGAGTTTGTAAAGTCAGAATATAAGACAGGGCTTAGATTTGATCAACTCTGGCTTCATGGACTGAAGGTGTTTTGGAGAGAGTTTGAGTCTCTTCTGATCTAACACTAAATTCTTCACTATCATTCACTGTAGCCTTTCTGTCTTCCACAGTTAAATTAATAATGATTGTTATTTTTTTTCTCTCTCACCAGGCTTC